TTTAACTCTGACACTTTTTCAACAGAAAGGTCCCCAAACTATGATACAAGTGATCTTTCTTTTCCTTCAATAAACATAAAGTTTGTGTATATGAGCCGCGTCACGACAAAACCAACATATAGTATCAATGATATTTTACTTGCACACGTTTAAGAAATATTATGAGTTTGTCGTTATGATGCAAAAAAACATAAACCATTGGAAGTATACGGCCTTTGAGGTCAATTCCTACGCATCAAAACTCCAAAACCGTTGTTCATCCCCGCGCAGACCGATATTTATTCGATTTTATCGAAACAAGGGAGCTCACTAGCGCTATATTTTTTCAACTTGAGATTATTTCCGCTTTTCGTATGAGTTTGATCTGTAGCGCCCCCTGCTGTCGTAAAAATTATTTAACGACAAGAAAAAAAATATGTGCTTGCTTCAAAATTTTGTCGAATCCGTGATGACTGAGCAGATCTAATCTTTGCTATTTGTTTTTATTGTAGTTATCCCATACAAAATTTCTTTTGTAAACAGCTGATCAAATTATATATAATTATATTTTAAAAACGTATCTCTTAATATCCTTATGTGGTGGCGATAAGGCAGATAGGATTGTAAGAACGATAACACCAGAGATTTATCACCAGAGATAAGAACACAATAAAATAATATTCTATTTTAAACAACTTGAGCACAAATGCAGCTAATAGCACGAACTCAATGCATTAGATTTTATTCTTTAAAATGATTTTAGAATCAATCAAGACATCAAACTGCACGAAAAATGAAGGATGGCTTCTCTACCGATCACTGTTTCTGCTCTATGATGAGCTCGTTTCCATGCCGTTATAGGTGTGTACTAAAGTTAATTCTTTGAATTCAGATGAGCAGAAGATCTCAGACAATTATAATTTCTTGTGTATATTATAACAAGGCCATTAAGCCCTTACTATGTTGATTATCATAAATGGACTTCTTCATCATTCAATCTGAAGACATTCGTCTCAAAATATGTAAAACTTATTGACTAGCCAACGATGAAGACAGTGATTCGACAGTACGTATATGTCAGCTGATCTTGATCTACACTGGTTGCACGGACACAAGCTAATGGTTAATTAATTGAGCTGAAAGAAAACGTTATTACCTATTCTTTATCTATTATCATCTTTAAATATTACTTATCATTGTGATTATTGATACTATTTTGAGTTGAAAACTATCTTTGATATAATTTATATGCACTGACAATCTATAAGCATTACTAGTTGTAAGTGATCTTTCTTTTCCTACAAGAAACATAAAGTTTGTGTATATATTGTACCTAGTAGTAACTTATATTTGTTATCTCACCGATTAGTTAATTTTGACATTTCAATTCAACAGCTCGTCTATAAAGATTGTTTCCACTCGATAAAACGATAAAATTTGAAAAGCATAAATTTACTCAGGAAATAAATTTCCCATTAATCAGATGTACTATACCATACATGACTTGCATCAAATTGCCAAAAAAAAAAAATAAAATTATTTGCTGAAAATAGGTTTTAAGTGATTAAATCTGCTGCACTTGCACTTTAGTTTAAATTATTATGATTATGTGTAATAACATTTTCATACCTCATAGGAAAAATTAACAATTTAATATTTAAGAAAATAGTTATATCAGAATTATTATATAGCATTATCCAACGTCTTTCCGAAGCAAAACTTTAACAACTTGAAAATGTATACTGATACATCTACACGCAAGACAGTCAATAACAAACAAAAGAGGAAAACTTACAAAAAAACATGCCGCCACTGCCATCAATGAAGATTATAGCCTTTAGGATAGCTTTAGTTGGTATGTATATTTGAAAAGAAAAGTATCTCGTATAGAAGAAAACAGAGATCCGTGACAAAACTATAAAGTAACGAGTAATATAGCTACTTTGTACTGTGGAAGAAATGAAACATGTATCTCAATTAAATGAACTATGCTATTGTAAAATGACATATATTCTTTCTCGCAGACTGATGTTTTGCTACTTTAGTTTATACATTCGTCGCCCTATTCTAAAAATGATGTATCAACAATTTCCTCTTTTTTGGAAAAATGGGTTAAAGATTCAAGACTTCGTAACTTTCTGGATTGTTATTATTTACGTCAACATGTGTTAAAAGCACTTTCTTATATACCTTTATAATTTTCAGTAATTAAAAAAAAATGGAGATAGACCAAAATGATTATTTTTGAATAAAAAGAATATAAATTAAAAAAATTATAATACGAAACAAATACTAATGCAAAATATAAATTTATTTAACCGTTACTTTCCTAGTTAGCTAGCTGCTTTAGATACGATTGTTGTTGTTATCACTGGAGTTAGAACAATAATAATAGATTAAGTAAAAAAATGTAACCGCTAGAGTGTTAACAAGGTTTTACTATTTTTAGCTCCTGTGACCTTGTTTTTCATCCGAGATGACCTTGTTCAAACTCATCCGAGCTATCACCTAGACAAGCATCCTGACAAAGTTTGATGATGATTGAGGCAAAAATGTGACCGCTAGAGTGTTAACAATGTTTTTCTATTTTTAGCTCCTGTGACCTAGTTTTTAATCCGAGATGACACATGTTCAAACTCATTCGAGCTATCACCTAGACAAACATCCTTACCAAGTTTGATGATGATTGAGGCAAAAATGTGACGCTAGAGTGCTAACGAACAAGTGTGGACGGACGACGGACATTCAACGATCCTAAAAGCACATGATATCCAAAGGAAAATGAACTTTATTTCGGTACAATTATTATCAAAAATGCGTCTGACTCACTCATATCATAATCAACTCAAACACCAACCGGTGAACAATAATAACCATGTCGGCTGGTACATGTATACATTTTGTACTATCAGTTTCTACAACCATAATAATAAGTTTGAAAATAATAAACCGCTTAATTTTATATCTATATAAAATTTACTTAATTTCGGCGGACTTTTTCTCAATAATTTATTTTGGAATCAACTAAGCCAACAACTCCCAGCATTGAAATATTTTTTGTTTACATTTATTTTTTGTTAGCGTTAGTTTGACCAAAATACCGTATCCGTTCTGTATAGATGACCATTCAATTTTTCGGCTAAATACCGTCTAAAATCAATTTGACTTCAGGGAAGAACTGAATCTAGGTAGAGTGTCCATTGGTTATGTTAAAATTTCAAACTGGAACCTGCGAATCTCAATTGTTATTCTTAAATAAGTAAAATAAAATAAACTATCTTTCTGAAACGGTTTATGCATCTAATGTTTAATTAATCTTAAAGAGTTCCAGAGACAAATTTTCTTCTTATAAAAAGTTTCTCAGATTTTTTTAAAGTTCTCTCACTTTTTTATTGAATATTCTTAACCATGTTTCCACCAACAAATTATATATATACATGTCATTGCTTTAAAAATTTCATTAGTTTTAAAATATGTCATTTCGTAAATTTAACCAGCATGTATCCTATTAAATCACAATATATTTGGATTCGAAAACAAGCAAATCCTTTCCATGATGGATTTTTGTCTTTATCATTTCACTTGATATGATATTAGGTGTATGTTTAAAATTTTAATATTGCTCTAAATTAACAAAAGTTCGTATTATATTATTTTGTTTTTTGTTTTGACTTCATTTTGCTTTTAAAAGCTTATCAACCAATAATAGTGAGTACAATTAAATTTTTTATGATTATCATTCTTTCAAAAGTAAATAATTACGTCATATCAAAAAGTATAACAAAAACAGATGACCGTTGAGATAAATGCATCCTTGAAAAAAAATTGACTTATAAAAACTTTGGAGGAAGAGTTATTGACTCTAGTGATTCAGAATCTGCTGATAGTCAAAATTGTTCACCATCCAAAGCTAGATTCTGGGAAACTGTTTCTTCTACATCGTACGTAAAATAGCACAATACATCAACTTGTAGTACAGTTTGTTGGACTAACCCTACTTACAGCCCTGTATAACACATTGAATTTGCATACGTAATAATTGTTATTATTTCATCATTAAACAGGCATTGCTAACATTTTTTATGGAAATAATTTTTGCAAGTAAAAGCAGATTTGTCTCCGCCAAGTTTCTTTTTTAAGATACGTCTTGTTTCGCAATATTGCTACCATACATGATTACCCATTGTTTTCATTAAAATTCACTGCTAGTCACATCAGGACTAACACAAACACGTTTTTTTTTTAAATCTAGATGCTTTTAGATAAATAATTATAAATAAAAGACACATTTTAGCCATTCAATTGCCGTGTAATATGCATTAGTCATTCTTGACGTTTTCATGTGTTTTATTAATGAAAATGTCCATGGTCAATATTTATAATTCATATGAGCCGTGTCACGACAAAACCAACATAGTGCGTTTGCGACCAGCATGGATCCAGACCAGCCTGCGCATCCGCGCAGTCTGATCAGGATCCATGCTGTTCGCTATCAGGTTCTTTACTTGTAATAGGATCTGTAAGCGAACAGCATGGATCCTGATCAGACTGCACGGATGCGCAGACTGGTCTGGATACATGCTGATCGCAAATCCATTATGTTGGTTTTGTCGTGACACGGCTCATATGTTTTTTTTACAGTTTTGTTTACGCCCTTTAAACGAGTATTACATGACATCTTTTGCATGAAAAGAACATTAAGATAATATTTGAACGCATACACTGCGTTTAAACCTAACCACGTAACGTTTTATTATCATTTACTTTCATGCAGATAAATCTTAAAATTGATATAAAGGTATGAGGATTATATTTCAACTGTTACATGATATAAATTTTAATGTTTATGAATGTCTATAACATGAATTAAAGTAAAAATAAACATCTTTTTTTGAGTGGAAGATTGTCGGACGACCGTCATAATAAAAAAAAACTATGCTTTAAATGATTTCATACATTATAAAAAAACTATGCTTTAAATGATTTCATACATTTAAATATAGATGAAGTCCTTTTGTTAATGCATTTACATATTATTTTAATAATTTTCAAATTATTCACTTCTAACTTTTGCATCACTGCGTTTTGCATTGCTGTTGGATTATGGTATTGTAAAAAGGTCTATATAACAATTTCGAAAGTGGAGATCACTATTTACTAACCGTAGTTTTTTTATAAATCTTCAAGTTGTTTTTTTTATATATATAATTATGATTATAAGCTTTTGTAAATCAGGTAACAAAATAAGATTTTGCCTCGAATAAATTTAATAACAAATACAGATTATTACTTTGTCAATGTCATGTTTAACTTTCTTTACGTCATTTAGATTTTCATACAATGTATCTAACACTCGTCATTAACTCTATTGTCAATGCCATCAATGTCTTTATGTACCGGTAGCTTCAACTTCCTTGAAATGATATCCCCAATAAACAAAAGAGAAGCAATTCCTTGTGCCACGGCAAATATTAGAAAAACGGCATTGTAGTGGCCGGTTTTGTCCCTAATAACACCTGAAATAAAAACAACAATGAAAACCAATGAATTTCACAAGAATTTGTAAATGAAAACTTATCTACTGTTTTTAGTTTCCTCTAAAAATGCATTTGAAAAGCATGCCTTTGAAAACAGTAAAGCAAGAGCATAGCAGCCTGTAAACACCTTGCGTTTCGATCAATTCCATCTGCTTTTTAACATTGTAAAATTAGAAGTGTATTTAATTAACAACTGATAATTTCCTTCGAATGTTCATTGGACAAAATTACTTACATTACATATTGTATGCTCATGTAGTCATAATAAATTGAATTACCGTATATCGGCCCTATTCCAGCTGACAAGAAACCAATGAGAGTATCAAACATTCCTATAGCAACGCTAACCTGTTCAAGACGTGCAAGATTTGCACAAATCATGAAAGCAGACGACAGAAGTCCAGGCACCGCGCTCATACATGCTAGTCCAATTGTATACACAGCAAACGAACTTGCATACCAAATTGTAATGCTGCCTATAAATGCAATAACTGCGAGTCCAAATGGATAAAAGTATGTGTCAATATCTGATATCTGTTTAATTAGTCCAGGAGTAACACAGAAAATTACACCACAGATATTATAAGCAACAAAAGACATCTTTGCTTCAGAGTTATTAAATCCTTTCCAATGAGATATGTCAAAAACAAAATCTAGGAATCCATTTGATGTTGAGACTGATATGGCAGTGGCAACAAGAAGGCAAATGAAACGTTTTGTCATCAAATCTTTGATGAAGTTTTTCAAATTTGTAAACAGTTTTCCTTTCGTTGATGTTTCACTATCACATTGATGTTCTTGTTCTGTACCAATATTTCTTTTAACAGTATGCAAGTTCAGGTCACTACGGTGTAACCATACCATTAAAGAAAATGCAAACGAATTACAAAACACTCCACTAAGAACTGAAAATGTCCCTCTTAAGCCATATGTCGAAACCAATAGATCTAACAGATAAGGATAAAATAAGCCAGCCAAGGGAACACATGCTCCTTGTATAGCAATACATAGAGATTTTTGTGTCCCACTGAAAATAGCACTGGTAAGTGTTATAGTACTAACGTAGATCATTGAAATTCCAACACCTACAATGAATAAATAAACATATTAATATAACATAAAATATATTAATTCAGTAAAATGCAATCGTTTTAAGGGACATGTGTAAATAATTATAAAAACAAGTGCTCCTAACTTTGTGTATATTTGGAAAGAAACTATATATATTAATTTTCTTTGAGAAATTTTTGAACTACAAATAATTAAACATAATGTACCTGCTAGAACGCTAATTGTAGCAAAAAGATGCCAAATTTCTGTAATGAAGAATGACAATGCAAATCCTGAAGACACACAAATACTAGACAGTAGAAACACAACAGGTAACCCTCACTTGTTGATTAGTACTCCGCTAACTGCGCCTAAAAGACAATAGAAGATTTGTTAAAAGAAAATGGTCAGGTTTTGCAATATATACAAAATTTATATCTGCTTCCAATAAAACCGTACATTGTCTAGCACTGCAATGTTTGATTTGGCGGCTTTATCCAATTACGTCTAAAAGTTTACCTTGATCTTTGATTTACGTGAATCATATGCGTGTTTTCTGCTATAGATGTTAACGATGCGATCAGTGCTGACAATTCGGCACTATTTATTTTAGCCTGCATTGTTCGCTATTCATTCAGAAAATAATTGAAATAAATCATACTAGCATCAATGACTGAAATGTAAATGTCAAGATTTAAATAAGGACAAGTCCATCTAAAATATCTAGCGTTGTAAATGCTAAAGAAAATTTGTAAGTTTACTGCAGATTTCCCCCTTTTTCATGCACTTGTCAAATACTAAGCAATATCTCAAGTACTTAAAGCAAGCTAGTATTAAAGATAATAGAGTGCAGTGTCATAAAAGTTGACAAAAATTTAGCACTTTATGGATGTAATAAAACCAAATGTCAGATTGAAAAAAAATGATCAAACGGCTCTCCCTCACTAATGCGTTTCAGTGTTACTTATGTCAACATACGCTGAATTTTATATACAAACATGTAAAAAAAAACCACTCAACCTTATGTCGAGAAGACATGCTCTGATAATGGCAAAAATATAACCGGCAATTTGAGACTACTTAATTTAATCTAGTTTTTTTTATTAAAACTTTCTGGAATGACATATTTGAAAAGCACATTTCAAATAACTACATGTAGTGTATCGTTTAGCGTGATGTCAATTTTTCATTCTAAATATACACATTTCAACATCTCCTTTACTTATTTTTGAACAATTAATTAGTATTTTATACACAAAAGTTGAGTTTTTGATTGAATATTGTTATCACATTATCAGTAGAAATTGTACATACGTTTATACAAGTTTAATATAAAGGTTATCGGGCGATCAGTCTGATCTGCTTGGTTATATTGCTGGAGTTTGGCTGCGAGTGGAAAAACATCTTTATGTAACCAATAAGAGCGATACAATACATTAGGATATCATCATAATGTAGCTTTCCCTTACTATTTACCTCCAGTTAAATGCGTAACAAACATTGGACCGAAACAAAGTGAATTTTTTTTTTTACTTTCAAATTGATAGAATTGTTATATTTTTATGACACGCTTTGAAATACATGTGACGTCATGGAGCGCGCGAAACTATCCGCAAGTTGAAACGGTCATGTGAGATCGATCATGAAACAAAAGTATAAAACAAACTAAATTTTGGAAAAAATATTTTATATCTTATTGCGAAATGATTATATTATGCCTTTTATAATGTTAGTCTAATTCTATTTGCCATTTTAGTGTATTTACATCGATTTGAGACTGATCTAAAAATATAGGGGTAGGAATAGCCATTGTTTTCTTGAGCAAGAAACTTTACATTCATTGCTTGGTACTGGTTGGTTCCAGGAAATATTCGAGAGTGTTTCGATAAGCTTATAGATTCAAATCGAATTGAAATAAATTTATATATATATATATATATATATATATATATATATATATATATATATATATATATATATATATATATATATATATATATATATATATATATATATATATTTGAGTTTTTCTTCGTCGTTCGGCAAGCTCTGTACACACGATAATTGAAGAATTTATTTATATTTCCCTCGGTTTCTGAAGGGAATTAACATTCTTTTGTATCATGTTTTAATTTATTTAGTTTTTATCTAATATACATTTTATTATACTAACAACTTGTCCACCTAAAGTGTGTAAAGTTTTTAACATAACATATCTACTTCGTGTGAAGTCAAAACATGTTTAATTTATATTTATAAAGGGACTGTGTAGCAATTGTCAATGTTTTCTAACATTTAAATTGAGCATAGCATATCTTTAATGCATATCTTTATTTTACCAACTCTGATGTGTATTTTTATGTCTATTTTTATTATATCATACAATCTTGTATGTTTTCATGTATATTTATACTTTTTCATACATCCTTTCCTTGATGTGATAAGCGGATCTGTAGTTGAAAAATTGAAAACATATCATCTTTTAACTTTACTTATTTATAAATATTTCATGAGAACTAAGACTTACGTTTTTCCTTTGTAACTGATTTCATATTTTTATAAATGACTTTTTATAAATGACGAAAGTAATCATAATATAATCGAATAAGTCGAATCAACCTCAACGTGTATTTCACAAGTGCAATTATTTACATATGCAAAAAATATATATAAACTACACTTGCAACTACAAATATTTTATTGCATTAAACGACATGGTCCATGTCAATAAGTACAATTTTCACAACGAAGAAGTGGTTTAAATAAGAGCACAATGTAGTATTGTAAAATATGTATCTATACTAATAACATTACAGTAAACATAAATACTTATTTCGCAAGTTTGCATAGTTCGATATTTTGCTAAATTATAAAAATATTTGAAATTTGACTTTGCACATATGAGGTTAACAGATATCTGTTTAGTTGGCAACGTATAATAATATCTAAGATATATTCTGATCTTGAGTCTTGGAATTTAGAACGAATTTAGAGCATATAAATTTCATTTTCTATAAAACCGGCATTACAATTTTTGAACAATGCATAGCCAAATCATAAGAAGATGAACAAAATTTAGATAATGCTTCTCTAAATTTCGGTTCAACGATAAAATCCAAATAATTCTCAAATTCAGACACGAGTGGATAAATATATAAATATTTAAAAGAAAATGTTTAGGTTTTAAAAAAGGTAAAACATAAAAAGCTGATGGTTGTAGTGATAAACAATTAAAATCATCAAATTAATCAATTAGAACAAGATACAAAATGTACTTACAAAAACATGACGCCACGCCCATCAACAAGGACTGCACGGTAGCTGTCGTCGGTCTGTCTGTTTCGAACGTATCACGTATAGCAGAAAATAGAGCTGCGAATGAAAACACTAGACCAAACTCTAATGTAGATAACAAAAATGCCATCCAGAAGTGTAACCACTTGATACTGAATAATATATTATATGCCTTTTATAATCATCAACATATACAACTAGGGCTATCAGGATATATATAACCCGCGTAACAATGATATGTGAATGCAATATGCTCCCATATTTCCTATGTCATGTAGGTGATACTGAATAAAATGATTTATTAAATGCCTTTTGTATTCCTCAACATATACCAGTTGTGTTATAAGGATAAATATAACCCATGAAAAAATGTGAATCCAGTGTGCTCCAATATTACATAGATTATAGAAGCATAAACTATACACAACATACGAGGAGGGCTATTGCAAGGAATCATCTTGACTTTGGCAAGCAATATCGCATTTGGCGCATCTGTGCTTCTCATCCGCCATCCCTACCTCACCCCTGACCCCAAAAATATTGGAAAAAAAATCCAAGATCGATCAAGACAATCTACATAACAACATTATTATTAAAACGTAACAGCTGCTGATAATTACACATTTTTTGAGCAAGCTGCTCAGAAAATCACAGGTTTGATATCTTTAATTTCCATCAAGAAAGATAAAAAAAATATAAATGCAATTTCCGTGGATATGTGTTTATGGCCAATTTGGCCTCGAAATTGGGTCACATTCCAATTTGGAAATCATACAATAGCTTTTCCTCCAAAAACGTAATTTAAGGTATAAGATACACATAAAATGTTTTGAAGAGATTTAAACTGAGGAAGGCTTGGTGGATATTTGCAGGTTTTTCCTAGGTTTCATTTATGATTATTTTGATATTGAAATATTTATATTTTCGTTCCTCGCCTCCAAATGTCCAATAACGACCTTTCAGACCCCCACCTGCTGAGCCCGCCAACTGTCCCCAAAATGTGCAATAACATCATTGTCAAGATAGAAAAATTAAGGTTTATATCGCAAAATTAAAATATATGTATTATGTTAGTGTTCATCCGTGCTGTTCTACAGAAATTAGAAACTTCGACGGGCGCGATAGCGACAGGAGAATGTTTCTAATTTCTGTAGAACAGCTGAGGATGAACACTAACATATTTAGTGTCAAGCTTTATTTGGCCCTTGATTACGTCACTACGCAGTACTATGAAGCACTATGAAAAATAGAAGGCGACTATGAACGGATTTCAATACAATATAGTATCGACTTTTTTTCTTCTATGAAAATTAACGCACATATTTTTTAAGAAATACAGCGTTTTCATTGGATGACAAATAAAGCTGGACACTAAATATATATATATGCATATATATATATATATATATATATATATATATATATATATATATATATATATAAAAGCTTGAGAATCGCAATAGGAGTTTTATTTTTCAAAATTGCAAAACAAGCTACAATACCACATGTAATAGAATATTATTTAAAAGATTTGTGCAGAATGATAATTAAAATCATAGCTAATATCTTACCTTTGCTTCATTATGCTTTATTTATTTTATTCCTACCGAATATAAGTTTGTTTTGCTATAATTATATATTAATAAATATCTATAAATAAGTTTAACTTTATTCACTGAATCAATTTGTCTATTTAAATACAAATAAATTAACATTTGAAAATCCTCATCGAATGTGAGACGAATGTTAAAAGTTGGTTGAGAGGTTTTAGATAATACGTGACATGTAATTTCATTCACATCAAGTAAATGGATCGTTTCATAAACCATAAAAAATGACCCTTATAAAACTGAAATAAATAAACTAAATATGGCATATCAATATTGTTTATATATAAACTAGTGTTTCCATTTTAGAATAGAGATGATTATACTTTGAACAATTTTTATTTAGTGCACGTCTACAGTATAATTTATTATATATGTATCGTGGAACAATTTTAGTACGAATAATATTTATTTTTCAATATTGCATATGATGTTCTGCGCATCAATTGTTTCAATATCAAAATAGGTGAAAACATATGAAAAGCATCACGAAATAAGTATGAGACTTGTCACACAGACTATAAAACGGCGGAAAATAAGGTGGCTGATTCCTGCCATTTCGTGTCTTCGTGTCTTCGCCCTTTAAAAGTCGAAGGCTAAGGCACGAATACACGATAATATGCTCACTTATCGTGTCTTTGTCTTCGACTTTTAAGGACGCCGACTCGAAGACACATACATTGTAGGTGAAATAACGATATTTTCTTGCATGTCAGACAGGATTATCTACCGTTTACACTGGTGCTAGAAAACCCTGTCTTACACCCCCCTTGTAAGACAAGTCGCGTGCTTTAAATGACGTCATTGACGCGCGCCTTTTATGAATGAATCGCGCTCTAAGGATGACGTCATTTTTCCGTTATGAATGAAGTTGTATGTTCATACGCTACTATAAGAAAAAAGTGCGTAATAAGAATATCAGTTTTCGTAATTTCCTTTTCTGAAAATAATTGATATGTAATATGCAAGAAAAAGAATCAAACACTGGCTGCCGGTACAGACCGGAATATCTAGCTCTCGGGTAACTGTTTAGCGGAAACTCGGCAGAGCCTCGTTACCGCCGTAAACAGTAACCCTCGAGCTAGATATTCCGGTCTGAACTGGCAGCCAGTGTAAGAGTCTTATATTATGATTAATAGATAAAGACACGAGATCTTCTGCAGAGTTATCATGTCGGCGGGTAAATATCTTCGTATCGGCGCCGTATATTTGTCGTGTCTTCGCCTCAAAAGGCGAAAGGCAAAGACACGATTACTGGTCAGTTTATCGTCTCTTCGACTTTCGGGGCGAAGACACGAAGACTCGATAAATTGGCCAATTATTGTGTCCTCGACTTTCGGTGCGAAGACACGCAGACACGAAGACTCGATAAATTGGCCAATTATTGTGTCCTTGACTTTCGGGGCGAAGACACGCAGACACGAAGACTCGATAAATTGGCCAATTATTGTGTCCTCGACTTTCGGGGCGAAGACACGCAGACACGAAGACTCGATAAATTGGCCAATTATTGTGTCCTCGACTTTCGGGGCGAAGACACGCAGACACGAAGACTCGATAAATTGGCCAATTATTATGTCCGACTTTCGGGGCGAAGACACGCAGACACGAAGACTCGATAAATTGGCCAATTATTGTGTCCTTGACTTTCGGGGCGAAGACATGTGACTGATCAGTGATAACCTTTGAGTGATTTGGAATATACTTACAAATCTATTATTTCACTAGGTAGCATATATATGAAGCCTGTAAGTGTGAAAAATATCGACTTTTTCGACTAAGGAAATACGAAATCCCTATTTGTATTCAATACTTTATAGTCCCGCCAAAAATCAGTTACACAGATATTGTCATAAGAAGGTACCGAAAACTTTTGTTGTGTCTCAGTCATTGTAACTCTTTCTTGTTTGTGTGTATGAAAAGCTCAGTAATTTTGGATATTTATATAAAACAAAACTTTTTGTAGCCTTGTTTGTACTTGTGACTCCCAGAGGATAGAAAGTTGAAAATCAAGCATTGGCAGTTGGCTCGGAACAAGTAAGGAACTTCGGATACATTTTGTGAAAAATGTAAACGTATGACTGACAGTTTATTTGGCATTTAATAAAATGTCATTCATTACACTGTAGATAAGAAATAAGAAATCTCTTTGTATCTTGCACTATCCTCTAAAGTCTAAAAATAATAAAACTCTTCAGAAGGATTCGCCCATATGGGCAACCGGTGGCGAACATAAATAAACACACACGCACACATAATAATTTGCATATTCATATATTCTTATTAATACATTCATATAAAACGGATAATACGAATTAAGAAAAAGAAAGATGTTGTTCCAATTAAAATGAGCCTCGCCATGACAAAACCAACATAATGCGTTTGCGACCAGCATGGATCCAGACCAGCCTGCGCGGTCTGATCAGGATCCATGCTGTTCGCTATCAGTTTCTCTACTTGTTATAGAGTTTGTAAGCGAACAGCATGGATCCTGACCAGACTGCGCGGATGCGCAGGCTGGTCTGGATCCGTGCTGGTCGCAAACGCATTATGTTGGTTTTGTCATGGCGCGGCTCAAATGTTGTTATATCACTCGTCATTGATGTCAGAAAAATGACTCTCTCCTATATTTTTAGTACTTTCAGTGCTTTGATTTTTTGCAAGCGGCGACGAGGGTGAAGCCAGTGTATAATTTAAAACGTATCAGATTTTAACGTTCTGTTCATGACTATGCAATAATAAAATATATAATTTCACAAGCCTAGTCACACAATTTGTTTTGAAGTGAAAGAATGATATTAATTTAAAAAAAAAACTACCGTATGACCTGAGATCCATTTGCATTATATAAAGCACTTGACTTCAACTGAGGATTCACCTTCATTTTCAACCCATAAAAAGGAATATAGCAATATGAAAGACAGGTATAATTTCATTCATTATTCTAAATTAGATTTATTATATTTGCCAGTAGTAGTAATAATATTAATAATAATAATAATAACAATAATGATAATAATAATAATAATGATAATAATCATCATCATCATCATATTATTATTATTATTATTATTATTATTATTATTATTATTATTAAAGATTGATTATAATAAGAATAATAAAAAATAACAATAATAATAATAACAATAGTAGAAATAATAATAATAATAATAAGTTGATGATGATGATGATAATAATAATAATAATAATAATAATAATAATAATAATAATAATAACAATAATGATAATAAAAAATAAATTGATAATTACAATAATATTAGTAAAACTAAAAATATTGAATAAATAAAACACACTAAATACATTCATGAAAGAAAGAGCGAATTCCGAGTAATTTGTTGTAAGCTTTTCATAATTATGTCTTTCTGCATGAAAAGGTTAGATGAAAAAAGTCAGTCGTGTATAGTTGCTAAAATCATGTTTTACACTATAAACGTAGTTTTAAAATAATAGAATATTCTACAATATTTATAGTTTTACTAAAATTGTAATTATCAATTTATTATTATTATTATTATTATTATTATTATTATTATTATTATTATTATTGGTGAGCTTGTTAAATTAAAGGAATAAAACTTCAAGAAGATTTGAGAATAAAATCATTTTTATAAATAAAAGAAATGTTTATAAGAATATAAAACTTAGATGTAAACGTTTATTCAAAAAGACAGAGGGGAAACGAGCGTCAAAATTAGCGAAATGTAACCCAAAGTCTTTTTGGAGACATGTGAGAACACAATACAGGCAACCTACTATAGAAAATAGTAACATAAGTATTGATGATATGTATATACATTTTAACAGTTTGTACGGTTCTACACCACTGTATGATTATGAAAATAATGATGTACATAATGATTACATATATGATAATGATTTACATGTTGAATTTACATCGATGGAGATAAAAAAAATGCAATATTTTCGCAAAACAATTCTAAATGCCCGGGTACTGACCATCTGATTGCAGAAGTATTTGAAAACTCAATTGATATAATTTGTCCATTTCCCACACGCTTTTATTATACAATTATTGACTAGTGAGCCATTGAATATGATGTGATATTCACCGGCAGATGACATATTGACCGAGGCGATACCCAGTAAATATGATTTTATAAAAAGTTCTGTTGACTACTGTTTGGACCAATGAGATTGCAGCTATATTTAGATCATATAATAAAATAAAAAATTTAATTATGGCGTATTTCCTGAATGATGGGGAGAAGGTACTATAGTACCAATTTTTAAAGGTTGGGCTCATGAAGCAAAAAACTTTCGCGGAATTACCCTAAATAATATTATATAAAATATACTCAAAGTTATTTGTTGATAGACTTATAATTATAAATATAATATAAATAGGAACATTCCTGGTATTGTTAATATTGACGATATACAGGTATTTTTGTTGTTATTTGCAGACGACGCTGTAGTTTTCACACATGATCCAAATTCATTTCAACCTATCTTGAATGATATAGAACATTATTGCAATATGTGGAATCTGATATTAAATGTGTCTAAAACAAAAGTAATGATTTTTGAAAATGGTAGACATACATCTTATGAGTTCTTTTTGTATAACACTTGAATTAAAATTGTAGAATATTTTAAATATTTAGGTGTGTATCTTTTTTAAAATGGAAACTGGAACAGACCTCAAAGATATATTGCGCAACATGCGTCATATTCACTATATAATTCATTTATTGTATGTAACCAGTTGGAACCTTCCAGTTTCCCAAATGATAAGTTTATTTGATAGTATTGTTTTACCAATATTAAATTATGCTGCAGAAGTGTGGGGACATCACGCTGGTCTCCGAACATAGAAATTATACATACAAAGTTTTGTAGAAGATTGTTATGTGTGAAACAATCAACCAATGTAGATGTGTTATATGGTGAACTTGGTCGTACACCAATGTCCATTCGTAGAAAACTAATATTGATCAAATACTGGTTAAAACTTCTTAACTTAATGAACGAACTATATTGTATAAAATTTATATCATGTTAAAAACTGATGCCGACAATGGTGTAACTTATACTTAACTCGTAGTGGTAAAAACTGGGCATACGTTGTTAAGACTATTTTAGAGCAGACTGGCTTGTTTTATATGTGGGAAAATCAGTTTACTATACATATAGATTTTAGTATAATTAAACAATGAGTTTTAGACATATTCTATCATAGCTGGTATTCCTCAATTAATAACTCGTCTAGATTAGATACATTTTGTTTATTTAAACATTCATTCGAATTTGAAAACTATTTGAATTTTATCGTTGAACCGAAATTTATAATAGCTTTATCCAAATTTCGTTCATCTTCTCATAATTTGGCTATTGAACGTAGACGGCATAGAAATATACCAAGAAATGAAAGATTTTGTAGTAATTGTATAGAAAATAAGTATCATTTTGTATTAATATGTTCTAAATTCCAGGACTTAAGATCAAAATATATAAAGAGATATTATTATACGTGGCCAACTAAACAGAAATTTGTTAATCTCGTATGTGCAAAATCAAAAGCAATAATTAATAATTTAGCAAAATATATATACATGTACTATGCAAACTTGCGAAATAACCAGTCATCTTTAATGAAGATACATATATTATATTAGTGTGCTCTTCTGTAAACCATGTCTTTGTAAAGAAAATGGTATTGCTATGGAACATGTTTTAATGCAATAAAATATTTGTAGTTGTAGTTTTATTTTTAACGAATAGTCTGTGGTATGTATTAGAATAGAACTCATTACCACGGCGTTACAGATGTATCATAGGTCGCAGATGGGAATACTTGATTGCTTAAAAGAAGTATCGTAATTATTTGTAGACTAATTTGCAAACTGGTCATGATAGATAATGAAAAAATACAGCATCACCCCAAGTCTAGCATCGACTCAACCAACATTTGATCACAGGGACTGTTAATTGATGTATCATTCAAACTATTATATATCGTTGAACAAACATACATTAGTAGTTTAACAAGTTAATGATTGAGTAACTATAAGGGTAATAATTTGTTTTCACCGAACTATCTTATATGAAGAAAGACGAGAACATGAAATGCTTTAACCAACTATGTGTTTACTCTTTTTTAAATTTTTATGTTGTTTTTTTGTATATTTTACATTCATACATTGCCAGATTCATTAGTTGAAATTCAATACATTGCATTTTTAACAGGTTGTTTAACCCTTATCATGTTACACATCTTAAATGGACTGACTGAATTGGACGGTCAATTTTGATCTGCAATGGTCGCCTTGGCCGCCAGGTTGTTTTATTGTTGTTTTTTGTGTGTTTTTGTTTTTAAGTAAAGACATGCTTCTGTGATTATCGTCTTTTATTCCTTATTATATGATATGTTTAAGATTAGTGTTGTCTATAATGTGTTTTGTAGAACTTCATAGTTTGATATAATAATAATGGTTCTGTTATTTGAAAACTTGAATAATGTACTAACACATTTTAACAAAGTATTTATTTAAAAATCACCATCTTTAGTACCATTGCTGCATTTTGGCCGCTTTACACGACATTAAAGGGACTCCACTGAGGTTTAAAAGCCTATAAACATAACATTTGAATTTCTTACATAAATGAGCTGGGGTACTTTAAACAGAAATATATGCAAAGATAGTAAAGAAATGTACTATGAAATAAATTGAAAATCGTATTTTAATGATGTTCTTAGCCCGATTTGAGTGAAAAGCGTTTAAACGCTTTTCATCTTGGGTCATTTTTTTACAATTTGAATATTTTTTCTGGAAAAACGAAGTGCGCGAATGATCTGAAGTTTTGCACAAAGATTAGTGGTCTAAACCTACATCAAATGGTTCATTAATCTGGAAAAAATATTTTCAGTCCCATCATGTCAAAATACCTCAGTGGAGTCCCTTTAATTCTAAATTTATTCCTCGCGTGATGATATGAATTAAAAAAAATATATATTGACCAACGTTCACCTTTTTTACACAAATGATATCAGATCGCTACATTTACCTAATCTACTTTGATGCGCAGGTCCCTTAAAAAGATTAATGACAGTATTTCATGCTGGCCTCTTGCACCTTAAGAATTTAATACTAGTATTTTTTAATTTTAGATTGAAAAACGATACTTTATTATGACCGGATTTAAGAGAATATACGAGTATTTATGGTTCATTTGTATCAAAATACATTCAATATGCAGGCGCTTAAATGGCATCTTTAGCAGAATCCATTGATGATCTAGCGATATCTCATTTATACCGATCTGTTCCACGCAAGTAGATATCAAAGCATCAATCAAAGATAAATATTTTAGTAATTTGAACATTTGGTTGCATATTCAACAAATGTAGTCACTACTTATCTTGACTGCAGTTCTTGTAAAAATGAAAGTAAAAATCCGTTTGGAACAAAAAAAAAGATAATAAAAATGTCAATAAAAGAAAACTTACATCATTACAGCAGCAGGACACCGCCCAAGATTTATATTTAAACCAATTGCAACTATGCAGCGGTAGAACATACATGAAAATATTTAAGGTAATTACATATTGTTGAGTACAGTATTGAATTCTATTGAAGAAGAACACAGCGGTCAAAATATATTTGTCGAGTCTGATATAGGTTTTGCAGTTATGTACGAGTCCAGTAGAATCATTATTGTTCTCAACCATGTTTAATGACTGCTTTATTTCACATCGCCATTTTGATATGAACTTTTTGGACACTTGAAATTTGAAAAAAAACGGGGCTATAAGGGTGTGAAATGGATTTGGTATGACTTTTTGGAATCTGGAAATGTTAACGAGACAAAATAGATTAAATTAGATTAAATAATGATTTCTATTGAAACATCACGTAGTGCAAATGCAGAATGTGCATTAGTTCCATATTAGAATCTATGTAAGGTGTGGAATAATATCTATTACACAATGTAATAGTATAGAGAAAATAATACCCAACACGACAAAATTGAAAATGTTGCAGGCTCGGTTTGATGGACGGTACTGACAAGTGTAAACTACCGTCCATGCCCCCTAGCACCGGCAAAAGCAGAATTCAACAGTTAGCACCATCTTATTTATTAAACGTATATCAGGTTGAGGTATATTGTGCTTATTTTTACATAAAAAGTTCATACTAATAGTTTTTGTATTTGTTTTCTCAATTTCCAAAATAATGATTGTCATAACCGAATCAACTGAAACAAAGCTATACTAACTTGTTATAGTCACATTTTTTTGAATCATTCAAGCTCTTACCGGCATATTTTAAAATGAAAGACAGGTAAAAAAATGTTTACCAAATGATTGTGAAATCGAAGTCGATTCTGAGACAATTTTAATACTTTAGGTGAAACACACTTAAGAAAAATAAAATAAAATATTCCATGGAATGTGTTGAGTCATTAAATGGATGCCTTACTTCAGCTTTGTGTTGTTATATTAAGTAACCAAAAAAAAAAAAAAAAAAAAAAAAAAATAAAAAAACAGAATTAAAACATTAACACGCCCACCCCACTCATGTCATTCAGGACCATTTGAATGACACCAAGTAGGGCACTGGAAAGGAACGAGGAAAATGAGGAAAAAAGTGAAATAAGAAAACAAACAAAAAGAACAGCAACACAAAAATGCCTCACTTAAAAAGGAATAATCAGATTACAGCTACGACTGTATTCGAAATATTAAGCATACCTTATAGCTGTTTATATGTTTTTCTTACAGTACAAAGTGGCTTTTTTTCTTACAGTACAAAGTGGCTTTTTTTCTTACAGTACAAAGTGGCTTTTTTTCTTACAGTACAAAGTGGCTTTTTTTCTTACAGTACAAAGTGGCTTTTTTTCTTACAGTACAAAGTGGCTTTTTTTCGGAGTGGCGTTTGTGTTATCTACGTTGGAGTTTGGTCTCGTGTTTTCATTTGGAGCTTTATTTTCTGTTATACGTGATACATTTGGAACCGACAGACCAACCACAGCATCCGTGCAATCCGTATTGATGGGGGTAGCCACGTGCTTTTCTGAGTCCTTATTCTCACTATTTTCTAATTCGCTGCTTTATCTGAATAGCATTCTTTTGTTGTTTAATGTTGTATATAATTTTATCACTGCGGCCAACAGTTTACACAATTTTTTAAATTTTGAAAAAGAATAATTCTAAATGTCTGTATGAAAGAAATTGTTTGGTTATATTTCCTTTTGAGCGAATGGCACGTACAAGAAATCATTATTAAACGGTGTAAACCTACTTAAAATTTGCAGCATGAAATAGAGGACATTGAATGAGTGTAAGTTAAATACTGAATTTATTGCACGAGTTGAATAAAATTATATTATGCGAGCCTCTGGCGAGCATAATATTATTTTATTCAACGAGTGAAATAAATTCAGTAATGAACTTAATATGCACGGCCGTGCAATACCATTTTTACGGAGCCGCAAAATCGGCACGGGTGTGTGATAAATTGTGTTTCGGAACATTTTGTTCTATTAACGTACACAGTTGTCTTGTGAGTTAAATCCCATATACATTTTATGGTACAACTTTTTGAGGATCAGTAATAAAAGTATGGAAAAGACATAATTTTACCATTTATAAATTTTATACAAATATGTCAGCAAGTACAAATGAAGGGCGCTAAACGTAAGAGACCGGTTCACTGGGTCAATATCAATCATACCGAGGCGATGCACAAGAAAATTATTATATTTCCTAGCGAACCCTCTTTGCAAAATCTCATGCTGTGTTCCTCATCAAATTGTAAATTGTATTAACGGCACATTACTCCTCAGAAATCCATGTTTTTTCTAATTCTTTAGAAATGTCAAACGTGTGTTTAAAAATGTTTAGATAGTGGATTAAGTGCATGTTAGAAATTTTACGACTAAAAAGGTAGCACTGAACATGCAGTTATGCGTCGTAAAGGTAGAAAAAGGCACAGAAGGTAGTATTTTGACTTCCATAACAAATACTTATTTACTATAATAACTTTAATTGCTGTAATTATTTTTATATTACTATAACACCAATAGAACTAAAGATACAAAAGATAGTTCATGTATAAGGCAAATGAAAATGTTTTTGGAAACGGTTACAAGATACCAAAAATATTTATGATAGCATTTCTTAGGCATAATGGGCATTTAAGACAATACAAGACATTGTATTGTATCGGACTTTAAGAGGATATGAAGAATACATTATTGAATAATGAATAGATTTTTTTTTAATTAGAAATTCAAATAAATGATACTGCTACTTGAAAAAAACCTTGCAGGTAAAGGCCGATTATGCCTCAGAAACTTTTTTTCTGCTTTAGAAATGACAAACATGAGTTTTATAAGAATAAAATAATAGTTTTAGAGCATACCAGGTTCTTATCACATGAAGAAAGTAGCGCGGAATGTAACAATTATCTGTTATAAAAGTAGCAAAATATAAACAAAGTAGTAGTTTGACTTCCATACAAAATACTAGTACTAAATCACTATTACTGTACTAATTGAGTAACATAACATAATTGGCCAATGAGTAACATTTTGGAAGCTATAATAAAAAAAATATAAAAAGCTTTCGAGAAATTGATATTAAAGCGTTTCTGAGGCATGATGATTTTAAACGATGTATCTGATGTTTTACAGTCAACAAAACATTCAGCCTGTGCATAACCGGCACAAAAACTACAGATCTTTGATTGTCTGTCAGCATTTTACCCTTTTTTTAGATAATTTGAGTTCAAAAAATAATGCTTGTGAAAGTTAAATAAGTAAAAAAATTGTAAAGAGTATCTCTTAATGTAAATGTTGTTCTTATAAATATTGAAAAAAGTAGAGATTTAAAAAAGGGGAAATAGCCATTTTTATCAAATGGCAACAAATTCAAGATGATTAGAAAGAATTTCTGTCCGCTTAAGTTAGCATGCATCAATAAGAGCAGTAAGTCCTCGTACTAGTTAAAGTTATTTAAGTGCATTCTAAACAACGTAAGAATACACTTTTGTAATATGTTTGTTAAGGATACAGATATAATTGTCAATGTAATCGCATGAAATCAAGTATACTGCAGCAGCGTTTTTTTTTCTTTATATATTTATGTTTTTGCCATAATATACTTTCATGGTGGCATATGTCTGCCAACAATTAACCATATAATTATCGCCTTAACTTTCTGACCTACTAGTTAGTTTTTGTGTTGACACGATATATAACAGATATTTATCAGACTATCTAGATATTGTTTATAGTTTAAAAAAATGGAATAAAAAACAATTTTGTTATATTATTATAGACAAGGTATGCAACATTCGAGTACAAAAATTATGGGTTTACCCGTTCTCGGTGCCATAATTGTCCAATATTTTTTTTTTTTTGGAAAAAATAATGTATGGACATTACATGAATAACAAGATCAAACATATTTTAGGTCAAATCAATGCGACTAACACTTTTGCATTGCAAGCGTTGTTTTCTTTTTAATTTAGTGCATTGTTACTATTCAAAATATTGAACGATTAATATTGTTTGTATTGCCACATGTATGGCCCATTGTGCCTCAGAAATGCTTTTATTTATTTCTCAAAAGCTTTTTTATTTTTAGTATATTTTTAAAATTTTCAAAAAGTTACTCATTGGCAAAATTACCTGAACCAATTTGATACTTTGTGTACATTTTGCTACTTATATGACACATCATTTTACATTAATCGCTACTTTCTTCAGGTAACACAGAGGATATTTGTTTGTTTGTGTGTATGATGAAATTTTATTTCATCGAGTGGGCTTTAAAAACAATATTCTCACGAGTGGCGTAGCAACGAGTGAGAATACTGTTTTTAAAGTTCACGAGATGAATCTTACACAACAAACAAACAAATTTTCTTTTTATTTTATGCTTAAAAACAAGTTAGAACGAAATTTCCTTAATATTAACGTTTATATTAAAATCTGTTTTCCCCATTGAGAGCCTCAAAAAAGTCGAATTTCTCATTAAAAACAAGAAGTCTTGGGCTTAAAAATAAGTTCGACAAGCAACGTTAAATGGCGGTGATATTATACATTTTATTAAAAAAATATGAATGATCGCTTGTTTTAATAATAAAAACAAACAATTCTAGTAGGAGAAAAAGTCCAACCATCTATCCATATTTCTGTTACTTACTGCAAATTTATATTAGACCTTTGTTAAATGTAAGCGCGCCATATTTAGAAGTTGTGCATTTCACTGGAGGAAAATAATTGTGTTTGATTCAGAGGGATATCATTTGGATTTGTTAGTAGTCATACATCTTTTTAAAAGAAAGAAAAAACTTATTTGAGGATTGTAACAGACAATAAATAAGTGTTCGCATATGTGTAAACATTATAAAACCGGCTAGGAAATTGGAAAACTTGGAAGCCTTACGAACGCTGGTTTGTTTACTTATTCTTCATTGAAAGTGTGAAATTATATTTTGATAATTTTAACTGTAAAGTTATCAAATATAATTTTCACGGATTAATCAGTAATCCACTGAAAAGCATAAAATAAAAGCATCTAACTTGCTCTTAAATCATTATTAAATTGTTATAACATCAAGTTTGCCCTTTCTTAATAAGTAAAAATGTATTCGTTTCTTAGGTATAATATGCCTGTTTGTTTACTAAGATATTAATAACACGTTTAACTGGCTCCCTTTGTTTAACGCCTTTCTAGTTACAAATATTTCATATTACAACAATGCACCTTATCCACTTTTATTTCTTAAATTCGAATAATGATTTATATACATTATTTTAGCTGCTGTAAGCGGTGTTTTGATCAACAAACTTGGACTGCACGTCGTCATCTTACTCTCCAGCATCTGTGTGACATTAGGCTTTGTTACTTCGTTTTTCGTGACGAAGATTTGGTATTTGTATTTCACGATAAGCATTCTGGCAGGTAATATTTTTATTTGTTGAATCCTGACAATGCTCGTAAGTAACTGCTTGCATTAATTTTTCACATAGCGATACTTTTCTCTTAAGTGAACTAACTTTTTGTTAGATTTACTCGCATGTAATAATTGTTATTTACCTTTTCTGAAGTTTTTGGCTGTGCTTTGAACTCAACACTTTTAATCAGATAAAAACTTTTGAAAGTTACAAAAATAAGACAAAAAACTCCTCAAACATAGTTCTTTCATATCGGGCAAAAATGGAGCAATCCCGTGGGAAACGGAAAGATAGATACTGTATAGGTAAAGTAGAGATTCTATTCATAAATGCAAAAATTACGATTTTGTTTATTAAATCTTTTGATTCCAGGAATTGGAATGTCGCAGCTTTACGTAATCTCAATAACTTTAGCTGCAACAATACAGAACAAGAAACAAAAACTTTTAGGAATTGCTATACACAGTACGTGTGTTCCAGTTGCAGGTTTGATTTACCCTCATCTTCTAGATTTGTTGACTTCATCATATGGTCTATGTGGTACGTTTTTGATTCTTGGTGGAGTATTTTGCATTAATATGTCTTTTCATTAATGATATGGCTCCGTCGTAGTGAATTTGTCATAAACAATAGCAAGGGTACCGGAGCAGTAAATGGAAAATGTCTTGAGGAAACAGGCGAAAAATCTAAAGAAAAATACCTGTGTAGACATGTGAAAAACTTCATAAAAAATTGATGACAGTGCGGTATATTTGTCTTCTTACTGCCACTGCCGTTTCTATGTCAACCTTGAACGGATATCTTGACTTTGTTTTTGATATATCATACTGGAAAGGATATAATGAAGTGCATGCTAGGAATGTATTTGTAATTTACAACATTTCTACAATCGTTTTCACTTTGCTACCTGGTATTTTGAAGTAGAAGTTAGATATTGACACGTATTATTTTCCGTTCATGCTGGCACTAATCGGACTAGTTGGCAGTGTAGTTATCCGATACTCAAATATTTTTGTTATGTATGCAATTGGAACAGCTTGTATAGGAGCGATCCCTGGTGTTTTAGCGTCTGCTTTTATCATATGTGCGCAACGTGTACGCCTTGAACAAATAAGTGTAGGCATTGGAATGTTTGATACAGTAATGGGTTTCTTATCAGCTGGAACTGGACCTCTCTTCGGTAATAGTGTGACATAAATTTCTTTCTTTTATAGTTTAAATTAATTTAGGTTACTTTAGTTTCTGTTTCCTAGAACAAAGCAGAACTGGTGTAAAACAAGGAAACACGGTCCTGACCATAGATTGGCTCAAACGTCCATGTTCCTTGGATTAATTAAGATCCACTTCCTTAACCACAAGGTCACCTCTCCAACAATTAATCCTATTTGTTTTTATAAGTAGCAAATATTGTTATAAATATTTTTAAAAAACACACACACAAAAACAACTGTATATGCAACTTGAAATAACTCCGCCCATTGCGGTTGAGGGGTAACATTTAATTAAAGGTTGAGACATCAGAATTGAAGCCACCGTTTTGTATCGATTTCTTCAGGGAAATTACATAAACACATACCCTATTGTCACATATATATCAACATGTAAATAAAACGCACAAAAATGCATGGTCGTAAGAGCAATTGGGTTCAAATTATTTGAGTCGATGCATCTATATATTAGCATCTGCAGGTGAGTTGGTTTTGACACCTGGTGTTACTGTAAGTAAGTAACACACGTCATTAGCCAAAATCTTATTTCCTGTATAGGCGCCGTATGATATGTATTGTGTTTGTGCGCCGTAAAACCAACTTTATTATCAGAATGCTCACGAGTGTATGATGAGCCCTTGGATAGGTAATCAAAATGAATTATAGCTTAGTTAATCATTTATTCATTTATATAGTACACCAGCTAATATCAGTTTGTACATTATCATACATTGATTGTATACTATAACGATAAAATAGCCCTACATGTAACTCTTGACATGTGACCTGGCACAGTTATATAATGCTGTATTGGGCGTAACAGACCTAGAACAACAATAAAACTAAAGTTTCTTAAAGTATGTGCATTATATTGTTTTCTAAAAGTAACTTAAGTTTAAAAAGATCTTGAAAAATACCCTGATAATTCACATAAATGTCAATATTATCTTTTTTTCACTACAGGTGTAATAAGGGACAATACTGGTTCATACAATGATGCGTTTACAATAATTTCCGCTGCCCAAGGTATCGCTTCTGCCCTGTTTATTTTGGACATCATTATGCGAAAACTTTGTCGAAATTCAGCAGAACACGACAACAACGCAGTGTGAAAAATATTACAGAATAATAGACTACAATTACTAGAGAATCAATTTACAAAGCATATTGCTAATCGCCTTTTCCAGTTTTGCAACAAACTTGTTGTGCCATTCATAAAGAAAAACAAATCGTTTGCCAAATTAACTGTTTAGTTGGACATTTTCAGTGTTCGTTTACTGATTTGAGAGACCACTATAGGACAAGATTGTGAACTAAGCAGTCTTCATGCCGAAGAGGACCACTTTCTTTCCCGACTTTGTTGCTAAAACATATTTGTTATGAAAAAGTAACTAATGAGTTTTTTCCGGTCACAGGTCGGTCAGTTTTTAGTTTGACTTCCTTTAAAATTTACAGGGAAGAACTGAATATAAGAAGAGTTTTCATAGGTCATTTTAAAATTACAAAATGAAATCATTTGCCATTCTAAAATAAAATGTAAAAGATACTTTTGTTATTCTAAGATAACTGGCATGAACAAGGATAATTCTTGCCGTTATTATGTAAAATGTAAAGGATAGTTTTAAAGTAAAATATACAGGTTAGTTCTTTAACTTTGTAGTGAAATTGCTCAGATATTTAAGTTATGCCTAACAATTATTGTTCTTGCATTAAGATCTCATTGCATTTTCTAGTGAACAGTATATTGAAACGTAAGCACTTACTGACTTTATTTTACACAAGATCTTAGTTTTAAAGTTTGTCCAAGAATAATATCAGAACTTATCAGGTACCCCTAGCTGATAATGTTCAATAAGTGTCTTATATATCATATGATTATTGATGTGTTCCATTGATATAATGTTAATAAATTTATATAGTTTTGCATATTAATCAAGTATTCATAAAAAATGCTGACTTGTTGTTGTATAAAACTGATACAAAAATTATACTCCCATTGTCAATATTTGTATTATAAAATTTATGTTATGTTATGTTATTATAACAAGATAGTAAACTTGTAATTTTCTGTTTTTATGTGCAGAACGTTGTACAGTTTACTAATATAAAGTTTTAAATGCCTTTTGAAAAGTGTTAATTATATATCCAATGCATTAACTTGCAATTTAAAAACATGTAATTTAGTAGAATTTCTGAGAGTATAGCAGTGCTTGGTTCTAGGAGGAATATAACATATTAATATAATATATATAATATATAACTTTGCTAATCTTTGAAAAAATGAAGTCATCAAACTCGAGTAAACCCCTGCATATTTGATGTATCAAGTTGCTAGACGAATTGGTTACATGGTGATGAGGAGATGGGTTATTATGGGATTGCAGTACGGTGCATCTTCATGACAAGCAACAGCCGGACTACCTGTAGAATAGAGTTGCATATGACATAAAGCATGAGAAAAACAATTAGATTCAACAGTGGAAAAAAAGAAAATAATAAAAGAAACAAACCAAAAACAAACAAAATTAATAGTAATTACGATTTTAACATTCCTTTGGACTATCTACATGATCCATGCAAATGCCTAAATGATGATAAGATTTGTTGTTTATTTGTACCAGACTCATATTTAAAATGCAGCCAATAGACATCCGGCGTTTACACCATGTGATTTTTCAGTAAAAAGCATTATCGGATCGAGTATTGTCAATTTATATTTCCCCGTTTCTTTTCCGAGTCCAAAAAATCCTTACCAAATTACCATAATACTCCATGTAGCCACGTTTTCACTTTTCGAGTCCAAAAGATCCATTTCAAATAACTATTTTATTTTATGCTTTCGGGTAGATTACTGATTTATCCTTGATAATTTCAATGTCGAAATTATCAAAATATAATTTCACACTTTTCGATGACGAGCCTACTTTTTCAAGATTTTCCCCATGTCTTACTTCAATTTTTATTTCTGCTGAGAATTCTGACATTGTCATGGCTGATTAAAGAACAGAAAAGCTGAAATTGATAAATAATCTAAATTTCAAAAGTAATAAAAACTTACTTCAATTATTTTAAATTACAAATCGCCAAATATCGTCTCTTAATTTTTTTGTTCATTCTTACAGTCTAAAAATACACTTCCTTCCACAAGCTAAACTGCTCTCGATGACATTTGGGCATATTTAAGTATCCTTCAAGCAATAACTGCCTAATGGAATATGAAAATTTGAAAAGCAATGACAGTCATCAGCCCGAAGAATAAGTTAACAAACCAGCGTTCGTAAGACAGCCATTCAACAATTCCTTGTTTTACAAACTCCTAGCCGCTTTTTGAATGTTTCACATCTGTCAACAATTATTTATTGTCTGTAACAATCCTCAAATAAGTTTTCTTTCTTATCAAGTTTTCTTATCAAAAGATGCCAAATGATATTCCTCTAATCAAGCACAATTATTTTCCCTACATGAAATACACAACTTTCAAAATTGGCGGCCTCTTACATTACACAAAGCCTGGTCTAATACAGATTCGCCGTAAGTAACGAAATAAGGTCGGATGGTGTGACTTTTTCTTTTACTCGAATTGTTTGTTTTTTATTATTAAAACAAACGACCATTCGTACTTTTTTAATGAAAAAATAATGTCATCGCGCGTTGATTATCGAACTTACATTTCAGCTTCTTGTATTTATTAGAATGACTAAAATTGGACTAAAATTGAGGATACCAGTGGGGAAAACAGATTTTAAAATTATAGTTAATATTGAGAAAATTTCATTTAAACCTGTTTTTAAGCATTAAAAAAATCAAATTTGTTTGTTGTGTAAGATGTAAATTTATTTCATCTCGTAAACTTTATAAACAGTATTCTCAGAAGTGGCTACGAGAATGAATACTGTTTTAAAAGCTAACTCGATGAAATAAAATCAAATTTTACACACAAACAAACAAATATCCTCTATGTCTAACCTCGTTGATATTTTACAATGTCAAAAATAATCCATATCAAATCCTTTTTGTTCTAGAAGTTAAAAATTATGTCAACATATAAAAAAAGAGAGGTGTGGAAAAAAAAAGATCATTATTCACTGTTTAATAAAATACTGATTCTGAAGATTGATTAAGATGTAGGCTGCGGATAGCATGACGAGAGCATTTACGAATGCTCTGGAATGAATAACTTAACTGAGCACCCTAAAGCCTGTTCTGTATTTTGATCTCAGGGTGAAAAATTATTTTTTCTGCAGGGGTATGATAGAAATTCCTCCATTTAAAAAAATAGCCTATACTCATTTTCTGAGTAATTTGGGATTCGAACATGCCACAACTTGGGGGCTTAACATCCTATTTACTTCATCTTACTAGTACTATGTTTACAATTTATCCCTAATCGTTCTGGAATTCATTCATTTACCACATAAACACATTATCAGGGGATAATTGGGAAATATGTCACCTGTCATCGTGGGAGGTCTGTACAACTAGAATTAAGAGATTGAACATGTCCTATCCTGTAAATCTAGTATTAAGTTGTACGAATTAAAAAAAAGTAGCCTTCACACATTAAGATTTGCTTGTACATTAAGTTTTAATTGGTGTTGTACTTCAAAATCCTATGGTCTAGTTGAGGCCTTTAGAGGACAGATATTGCGAATACACATCTCAACGCTGAATACAATTAGTTGAACTAGTCTGAGATTTAGTTTAAGCTTTTTCTTGCCACAAGTGAATCCTTCTCATTCTTGTTTATCAATCACTAAATTTATTTATATGCGACAATTTTTACATGTAATACAAATGTACAGATATTATTTTTGAAAATATATTAAGCCAGGGTATTTCAAATAGAATCCTAAGACCCTGATAAAGCTTATTACATCAATAATTGTTTTGATTGTTGCAACTTATTTTAAAAATTAAGTATTTCATTTAATTTTATTTCATAAAAATCATTTATGAAAAATTTTATTTTTGGGAATGTTATTATTTCAAAGAGGCTATTACTCGGCAGAATTACATTATTCATTTCAATTGAGATTAGCATCTTCCGGTCCGACTGTGACGCGTAGTAAAGTACCTTATGGACGTACAATCGGAACACCTCGGGCGACTTCAAGAATTCGAACTTGACGGATATTGCCGAGTTGTTACGATTGGTGAACGTATTCGGAACATCTCAGCTATTATTCATAATAATGAATAATGTTTAGTTTAGACCGAAACCCCTTATCCGTTCTGCGTATTTTTACTATTGTGTTCGGGGGTCTTATCCGAAGTTTGACGGAAACAGCCGAGAAGATGTGATTGAAGTTTTAGCACACCTCATACTTAATATAAAGTTAATATACTTCTATTGATGTTGTATCTTTTAGTATTTCATAAGTGTGACAATACAATATGTGTTTATGTATATGATCCTCAATAAATCCATACGATTGGTTCTCGCGCCAAAAGACAACTTCAAACGAGCAAGTACACACTGCCAAATATTAGATTTTAGTACGAATCTGCTAAAAAATGTAAACATTTTACTTTTTTTCATTTATGTGGAGTTTTGTTTCATTTTACCTTTTCACAAAATAAGTTAATTTGAAACGAAAAGTATAAAAACTGCAGATTACAGTGTTTTCAAACAGATTGCGTGTCATACTTGAGACTTCAATAACTACGCAACAGTCTCATCACAAATAATTTAAAGTCTGTAATTTGCCCTAAACACTTAATAAATTAAATTTTTAGGTATTTATGGTTACATAAACACATAATAAAGGCACATATGGATATTTATGTACACTAATTTCTATTTTGAGACTTCATTGACATAGACATTTAAATATAGAAGTAGATCAGATCGTTATCTGATATTCCGGACTTTAACTGATAAGATCTTTTAAAAGGGTAAGAGGTACATTTTAACTACCTCGCATGAAATATGAATCAGAAAACCTTAAACGATGGATAGGTATCGTTTCTGAAGTCGGTTCAGCTTTCAAGAACACGCCAGTTTCAAAAAGGTTTTGATATCAGTTTTTATATTGGCATGCATGCAGATCCATATCAGAGGTCTTGATACCAAATAAATTGCGTATCATTTACAGGTCTGTCGATTTAAATTAAGTAACATGACATAAATTATGTAATTTAACTATCAAGGTCGTTGATGCAACCAAGGACTACGTAAACCCTTTTGTAGCTAGAGTAACAACTATCAAAATAGCGCATGAGATCTGCCTCCAATAGTAAAGTTTGGAAATCGCCATATGACCTAAAACAAAGGGACGGGTATTACTATAACAATGGTATTTCGATATCTTGCAATATTTAACTTGATTGTCGGATAATTTAAGAAATAACATCAGTCCTAGACCCAGCAAACACCCGACGTTGACCCAACGTTGGATCAACGTTGAATTTTGGTCGCGACGTCGGTGACCTTCATACAACGTCAAATCGACGTTGAATCCCCGACGTCTAACAGACGTTTCATTTTGACGTCGACTCGACGTCGGGTTTTGGTCGGTAATCTGACAATAGGTGAATTTAATTTATGAAACCAATATATATATAAATGAAAGCATAAACAGCGAGAATTTTAAGTTTAAGTTCAGAAAGGGAACATTATATATTTATTTTCTCCATCAAAACAACAGTATCACGTGGGTGGCTAACGTACGATATTCGATAGGTGGCGCTCTGTAAACGGATAGTCGCAGATCAGTATGAAATATATTTGCTCTATTTTCGTTTAAACAATATCTTATCTCCTCGAATTAGTCTAAGAAGTGTTTATATAATTTACAATGAAGCTGTTATTATTTTTGAGGGCTTCATTTTATAATAATTTATAGTGGTAAATAATTTAGTAAATTCGAATTTGCGACTTATCGGATTTGAAATTCAATTGTATTGGCGGACAAAAAAACGACGGGTTGACAGACAAAGTTGTATATTCCAAACAAAAGAAAAAGGTAGGCAAACATTATATATTGTTTTTCAATGCTAATTTACCGCATGTTTGCATGGATTCGATGGTTATTTGATCATTGAAATGTTTGACTGGTAAAACTTAATGTAACGTGATTTCGCGAGATAAATATTTTTGTTTCCACGTAAGAACACTTTATCATTTGCTATAGAACAGTCTGTATAATCGGATCATTTTTCCCACACTATATCGCCATGCCAAATAAATGCACAATCAATGGTAGGAAATATCCTAGCAATTGAAATCAATAAAAAGTTAAATGCAGTACGTAAGACTCTTATTATTCAAATGCTGGTAAATAAAATTTCCTCTTATTTCTTATCAACATGAATTTCCCTTATATGAGGGGCCAGTCATTTACACATGTATCAGATGCAGTTTGATTTTGATATATGTGTAGTTGTTAAACTACTCGTTGTTAATTGAAGTACTTTACCCATACTGTTAGCATACCATGTGTTTCTTATATTATGATAATGATTCATGGCATTTGATACATGTAAATGATACGACTTAGGTAAGATATATCTGAAATCACATTGTATTTGACTAGCTATCTTTTTATTAATGTAATCAAACAACATATTATCAATCAGAAAACACATTATCATAGTTATAAATCAATAAAAGTAATAGTTTGTTAATTAGCCTGCTTATCAACAAGTTGTATGCTCGTATCATAAAACGTTTTTACACTAAGCCAGTCTGTCCTTTATACTCTTAGCAGATCGGATCATGCTGGGCAGAGATAATATCTATAAAAATGACAGTAACATGTGAATTTCTTTGATGTTGTATGAGCATTTGTACAAAGTACATTGAATATAAAAAAATAACAATATCAATTTTTGCGGGAGTAGAATTAATTTCATTTTGGTATTTGTTATATCAGTTGTTCATGCGCTTATGAGTTAACTAAGATTAATAGTAATTGGATTTTGCCTATTGCATTAGACAAACATCCTTCCACCACATGGTTAAATTCTAAAACGATTATATTTCGTCTTTCAGATTGTGAAAACTATCATGATAATTCAACATGTGCCAAAAGTTCAGGAGGAAGATGAAAATATTTAGAGGAAAAGAAAAATGAAAACCTACCAAGATTTTGTGACAGGTATATTTCAAAATATTATAGAAAATACAGTGATCTTATTACCATTGATTTTATAATGAAATCCACGAAGACATTTTTATCAAAATTAATAGATATATACAGTTGGTACACGAAACTACATGGTTTAAACTAAATTAAAAATAATAAGTATCTTTTTAAGTAGTTGAAGAGTTTTGTTAGAATTTCGTTTAATTATAATATGTATAAGTGATTTATTTCTTGCACTTGTAACTGATTATTTTATTTTTTTTAATTTCAGAAAGTGTGATGAGATCTCAGGTTGGAGACGGTAATACGCTTATAGTATGCCCCAGATCGACATAGTGTAGGAGGACGAAAGAAGCTTAGCTAGAATACTAATGAAGATACATGAACATTGCTATTTATAGTTATAACAAAATATTCAGAATATTGTTCCATTTAACATTCAGATCTAGATTCAGTTATAAAATACAAAGACAAATATACAATCAGTGAGTTGGATAGATGATTGAAAAATCCCAAACTCAGAGTGATCAGTTCAGTGGTGATATAAGAAAAAACACATGCATGGATGTTTGCTATATAAAATGTCAGTGTTAATATTCAAGAAGGATTTTGTTTATCTTATTTCTAAAACATGCTTAATTAATACATGAAGCGTTATTAAAGTACATACCGTCAAGTTTAATAGTTTCAAAAAATATTATGTAAATCTTGCATTTGTTATAGTACCACATTTCTTGTTTTGTACTTGTGATTCCGAGTATAAAATAAATTGCTAAAATCATAAGAATGCTTATTTATTAACCCTATTAAAGAGCTTCAAAATGAAAAAAATCATATTCCAAAAGTTTTGAATGAGGTTAAATCATGGTCAGAAAATTTGGTCAGATAAGGTTGGCATATGGTTGGATTATGGTCAGAAAAAGGTTGGATTATGTCCAAATAATGGTCAGATAAGGTTGGCATATGGTCAGATAATGGTCAGAAAAGGTTGGATTATGGTCAGAAAAAGGTTGGATTATGTCCAAATAATGGTCAGAAAAGGTTGGATTATGGTCAGATAATAGTCAGAAAAGGTTGGATTATGGTCAGATAATAGTCAGAAAAGGTTGGATTATGGTCAGAAAAGGTTGGATAAAGGTCATTTTATGACGTTGTATAGACGTCGGTTTCTGACGTCTAAAAAACTTTCAAATCCAACCTTCTGCCAACGTTTACCCAACGTCGGGGTCTAACGTCAGTACAACGTTGGTACAACGTCTTTTGTTTGCTGGGAGAGGTGTTTAACGGCTATTTAACATCGGTTTGGAGTTTTGATGCGTAGGAATTGACCAAGAAGGCCGTAGGCTTCAGTGGTTAATTTTTTTCGCATCAAACGACAAAACCGGCGTTAAAATGCAGACAAACACCGCTCATAGCGTTATTTTTTCCATTCTAACAAGATGAAATAAGCGAGATCACTAATGTTATTTTTTCAAGCGGAGATTACTTCAGGTGCCGATTTTTGTACAACGCTGTTCGATTTTACACCCTACTGTTCACGGGGGAGAAAGTTTCAAAAACGTTTTATATGCATTAAATATTGGAGATATATTTCACACGTTGTTTTCAAAATATTATCTTGGGGGGCATTTTTGCCGAAGTACTTTCGACAACTCTTTGTCCCTTTCTTGAAGGGGAATCTTGTGTTGCGTGTATGTGGTCGCACGGTCACTTTCTTACAAACATGTCCTCGAAGCATATATGTGATCGCATGGTCGAAAATCTCATATATAATGACAACATTAACAAAGGGGTTTTGGTCCAAATTTTAAAATCCTGATTAGGAAAGATAAAAATTATTAGGAGTTGAGAAATAAAATTTTATTTAGGAGGAGCTTCAAAAGACTAAATACAGAATGATTTTTTTTAAACTTCTTACATTCAAAGTTCTTTTGAACCCTTACACCATTTGCAATGTTATCAAGGAAGGTCACTCTTACCGACTCTATTTGTAGCGCAAAAATAACCTCCCTTTGAACTCTTACGCTATTTGCAATGTTTTCAGGGCAGGTCATTCTGACTCTTTTATAAACGCAACAATAACCTCCCTTTTGACCCCTTACGTCATTTGCAATGTTTTAAGGGGTTGTCACTCTAACCGACTCTTTTTTAGTGCAACAGTAATTTCCCTTTTGAACCCTTATGTCATTTACAACAAATCGAATTAACTTTTTTTAGTGCAACAGTTATCTCCCTTTGAACACTTACGCCATTTGCGATAATTTCAGGGGAGGTCATTCTAACTGACGCTTTTTTAAATGCAACAGTAACCTCCCTATTGAACCCTTATGTCATTTGCAATCTTTAAGGTGTGGTCACTGTAACCGACTTTTTGTAGTGCAACAGTTACTGTGGAAACCTTACCCATTTGCAATGTTTTCAGAGGAAGTCACTTTTACTGACTCTATTAAGAGTGCAACTTTTAAACCCTTATTCCATTTGCAATGTTTTACGGGGAGCTAACTCTTTTAACGCAACAGTCATCTACCTTTTGAACCCTCACCCCATTTGCAGTGTTATCAGGGGAGGTCAAACTAACCAACTCTTTTTGTAGCGCAACAGTCACCGCCATTATTTTAACCCTTATGCCATTTGCAACGTTTTCAGGGGAGGTCACTCTGACTTTTTATTAGCGAAACAGTCAACTCCCTTTTGAATCCTAACGCCATTTGCAAGGTTAACAGGAGAGGTCACTCTAACCAACTCAATTTGTAGCGCAACAGTCACCTCCCTGTGGAACCCTTACTCATTTTCAATAATATCAAGGGAAGTCACTGTAACTGACTTTATTTTGAGCGCAACAGTAACCTCCCTTTATATCCTTACGCCATTTGCAACATTTTCGGGGGAGGTCACTCTAACCGACTCAATTTGTAGGGCGACAGTAACCTCGCTTTTTAACCTTTATGTCATTTGCAATGTCATCAGGCGAAGTCACTCTAACTGACTCTATTTTGAGCACAACTGTAACCTCCCTTTTCATTGGTCGTTTTAAAATAATCTAAAATCTCAGAATCTGATTGGCCATTGTAAAATTAGTAAAATAAAATAAAAGATTTTTCTGACATGGTACACGCGTCTTATTTTTGATTCTGGAAACGAAATATCTACATTCATTATAAGTTCTTTGACTGTCAAGTAAAATATATACTATGCTTAAATTTTATACATTTGTATTATAATCTTTTATAATATTGCTACAAAGTCTCTTTGTATATATAAAATAAACACGTTTTGACTTGACACAAAGTAGATGTGTCATGTTTAATGTACAATAAAAAGTAACAAAGGGCAAAACTCCTAAATGAGTCAAGAAAGAGTCATGGTTTCTGTGCGCTGCACTTCTTCTAAATAAACTTGACCATTGTATGAAATTGTATTGAATTCCAACCACTAGATTTCATGTTATGCTCTGCAACAAGGAAAAGTAACAAAGGGCAATCACTCTATAATTACTCTGGATAGTTATAGTTCTTGTGCACTGCACTTCCTCTTATTGTGATTGACCATTGCATGAAGTTGTATTGAATTCCAACCATTAATTGTCAAATTATGCACTTGACAAAAACAGTATCAAAGGGCAATAACTCTGTGATTAGTTAAGATGGAGTTATGGTTCTTGTGCATTGCACTTTCTCTCAATGTACCTGACCTTTGTTTCAACTTGTATTGAATTCCAATCAGTAGATTTCATGTTATGCTCTGCAACAAGGAAGAGTAACAAAAGGCAAACACTCTATAATTACTCTGGATAGAGTTATGGTTCTTGTGCATTGCACTTCCTGCTATTGTGCTTGACCACTGTATGAAGTTGTTTTGAATTCCAAACAGTACTTTTCAAGTTATGCTCTGGACAAGGAAAAGTATTATAGGGCAATAACTTTGTAATGAGTCAAGATGGAGTTATGGTTCTTGTGCACTGCACTTCCTCTCAATGTGCTTGACAATTGTTTTAAGTTCACTCACTATTGTATTGAATTCCAACCAGGGTGTGCTCTGGACAAGGAAAATGCAACGAACCGACCGACCGACCACCAGGTGACTCCTATATACCCCACCCCCCAAACTTCTTTTCGGGGGGGGGGGGGGTATAATTTAAAAATATGCAAATATACACTTTAACTATCTAAGGAGGTGGTTCATTCAATCGTGTATACATTTTTATTGGGATTTATGTCACACCAGCAGTCTAGTTCATATAGCGACTTACCAGCTTTACTTGTGGACGAAGAACTCGAGAGGCCCTCTGTGTTTAATTTCAGGCACAAACGGTGGTTTGAAGCCATTGACCTTAACCACTCGACCACGGACGCTCGTGTATACATGAAACATACAAAGTATCACCTTCTTCCAACAGGACGTAAACTTTTTTATATTTTTTTTATCTCTTCACATATTTTTTTTTCTCAATTTCTTTGTTACTCAGTAACTATGTTTACGAAGCAGGACATGAGCAACAGTAACAACAACAACAAATATCACATTTTTATTTTTATTGTCAATAAATATCAATTTAACAAACTCTTCAATTCATTCAATATATAATTACAAATAAATTTTAAGTCAACAATATATAGATATTTAACACAAAATACAAACATTTAACACAAAAATATTTAAATTTTATGCATGATACATGCAATAACTATATATGTAATATCTTGCATGTAAGAAATCCGTAAAATGTTAAAACCAGCTGAATTTGTGAAATTAATTTTGAACAGTCAATTATCAATTTAGGGGATAGCAAGATGAAATTTGAAGTTACTGAGGCAACAGTAAATAGAGCCTGGTCAAACTGCACAGATGTAGTCAGACTATTCTCCCCTTTACCAGTTTTTCCCCTGACGTTTCCTTCCTTACTGGGACAGGAACTGATAAGGGGGAGAGTAGTCTTGTCAATGCACATACGTACAGACTGGCATGACTCAATTCCTATGGCAAAGGCTTAATTCCTATGGCAAAGGCTTATCACCTTTGATTTTAGCTGAATAAAGTTTAATCCTGGACAATGGACTTGCTCAGCTGTAAATTTAGAACATCTCTTTTAGCATCAAAGGATGTCATTTAAAAAGTATTAAAACTGGGTAGAGAAACAGTGTTGAGTCTACATGGAGATTCTCCCTGTCCTGACAATAGGTGAATTATAATAGAAACAAGCACTCAATGAAAATGTAAAGTTTCTCAACTATTAAAGTAGCATATCTATTAAGTCAAGTACTAGTAAATTAAATTAGGCTCAAAAATATTTATAGCTTAAGAAAAAGTATAAATCTAACAGGGTGGGTGTGGGGGTATTCATTATTATTTGTCACAAAATTAATAACTGACCATTGCAGTCTGGCCCTTACATTTTGATAACTGACAATTGTAGTCTGGCCCTTACATTTGGATAACTGACAAGTGCAGTCTGGCCCTCACATTTGGATAACTGACAAGTGCAGTCTGGCCCTTACATATTAATAACTGACAAGTGCAGTCTGGCCCTCACATATTAATAACTGACAAGTGCAGTCTGGCCCTCACATATTAATAAATGACAATTGCAGTCTGGCCCTCACATATTGATAACTGACAAATTGAACATTGAACCTCGCAACTGAAGTCTGACCCTCACATATGGATAACTGACAAATAAGGTCTAACCCTCACATTTAGAATGTAATAGTAGGACTAGTCCATTATACACATATATATTGGTAACAATTAAGTCCCACAATGATTGTTTGGTAAAAAAGACACTATCTAAACTCCTTTATGCCTATACTTAGGTCAAGCATGTGCCTAGCTCCTTTATTAGTTTCTTAATAAAAATGTTCCTAGAATTAAATAGAACTGCTATATCATATTTACAATAAAGCACTAATCTGATTTAATGAAGGGAAACAAATGCAATAAACTTAACTTGGTATCTAATAAACTCAAATAAATAAGCCTGTAAAATTAACTTAAAACCTCATATGATTAACTAAATAACCCTATAAACTTAACAAGTCTGTCTATAAAACTTATCTAAATAAACCTATATATTTAGTTTAGTAAACCAATAAACGTTACTCAATTGGGTTACAAAACTTAAGTTTATAAGCCTATAAACATACCTTAAAGGCCCATTATGCCTCAGAAATGCTATCATTTTATTTCTCAAAAACATGTTAATTTTTGGTATATAAATGTTACAGTTTTCAAAAAAAAAAATATACTAATTTGCTACATACATGAACTATCTATTGGATCTTTTGCACTGTTGGCAATTGGTATATTTATAGTGAGTTAGTATTTTGTATGGAAGTCAAAAAATACTACTTTGTCCTTTACAAACACATTACTGCATGTTCAGTGCTGCTTTTTACAGTTGTTAAACATCTAACATGCTCTTAATCCATTATTTAAGCATTATGAAACACATGTTTGACATTTCTAAAGAATTAAAAAGATATGAATTTCTGAGGCAAAATGTACCTTTAAGTTAATAAGCCAATAAATTCATCAATTGCATGCAAGAATGCATTATCACATTTCACATGGGTTTCATGTGAATAAATAATTAACTAAATAACAATAAATTTTATTTGATGAAAAACAAATCTTATATTTTATTATGTTATTTCATGAAAAAGTCCACTTATGTGATACAAGGATCCTTGACATGTAAATTTCCTATTAACGGAGGCAGTAAATATTTAAGCTAAAAATATCCTTAAAATTTGGAAAGTTATTTATTCCACTAAAATAATTGCAGTGACTGTATAAGCTTAGTGGATCCTCCAGATTTAGTTAATTCTTATGTTAGAGAATGGCATATTTTCTGACTTTCAGAAACTTGGAAATTCACTTTTTGTTCACAAGAGGCAGCAAATTTTCGAGCTTCAAGGAACCTTGTAATTTTATTTTTTATTCACAGAGGCAGCAAATTTTCTAACTTTCAAGGAACCTTGTAATTTTATTTTTTATTCACAGAGGCAGCAAATTTTCGAGCTTCAAGGATCCTTGATCTGCTACTACACCGACTTGAGAAAGCCGAGCTCTCCCGACTTGATGCTCCAAAATTAAAACTGTCTCTTGGTGATTCTGCTGGTAGGGTATCACATGTTGCTCTGATTGAGGCAAACCTGGCAAAAGAAAACATTAACACATTACATGTCAGTGATTGTGTGATTAACCTTTGACACCTATATAGAGCTAGACCAGCTTGCACCACATTAGCTACTAGATCCAAAAGTAATAAACCTTTGACATCAGTATAGAGCCAGGCCAGCCTTAACATCCAGGCAATCTTGAAATTGACACAGTACCTTGTCATGAATTTAAGGGGATTCAAAATGAAACAAGAAATGTTGAACGACACATATGCCCCCCCTTTCTAGCCCTTGACTAACATTGGTAATTTTGTTATAGAAACTTGCCATAAATGGGTACACCGAAGTGTTCAGTTATATAAAAAAGAAAAATAATGACCTACTAGTTATTACCAATCAATATGTGAAATATAAAGAGCTTGACCTTTGAACAAGTGAGCCCATTATGACTTATAAATATGTAAAATATGAAGACATTGTGATAAAAAGTTTTCAAGGTAATAAGCAGAAACCATATTTACATTAAAGGCCCCTGTGGCCTTGACCTTTGAACTAGTGATCCTAATATCAATAGCGGAAATCTTCTACATATGGCTATTCAATACAGTATGTATATTATGAAGACTTTGTGATAAATAGTTTTCAAGATAATGAGCGGAAACCATTCTGACATTTAAGGCACCTGTGACCTTGACCTTTAACCTAGTTACCCCAAAATCAATAGGGGTCATCTACTAGTTATGACCAATCACTTTGTGATATATGAAGACTTTTGTGATGAAAAGTTTTCAAGATAATCAGTGAAAACCATTCTGACATTTGACACTGGTGACCTAGTGACCCCAAAATCAATAGGGGTCATCTACTAGTTATGACCAATAAGTATGTGAAATATGAAGACTTTGTGATAAATAATTTTAAGATTATCAGCGGAAACCATGTGGTGTACAGACGGACAGACCTACCAACCGACCGACTGTTCTTCAAAGGGGGCATAAATATGAAAGTTATTCAGCTACACTGCTTGATTTCTAAGGCTCTTTAGTGGTGGTTTCTGTAAGATTCAAAGTGAATTAATAACCCCCTACCCCCTCCCAAAAGAAAAAATGGGTCAAGTTACTAATACTTCAAGTTTTAACAGTGCATGCTAATATCTCTTTACTTCTGTTGGCCAAGGAGGCTATAAATTAATATTCATCAAACAATCACTTAACAATATACTGACAAATGTATTTAGATAAAGAAAAATAAAGTTACTTTTCTTCCAGACTCTGCTCCAAACTTCTCATTTGATCATCAGAACTTTTCATCTGGCTATCCATTTGTCTTAAGCTAACAACTGTAATCAAACAAAACAGTCTGTTATAAAAAGATTGTGCTTTATTTTGTACAGTCTGGTTATTTTTCTCTTCCTTAAAACATATTCAAAACTAATGATTCATTGCACAGTACCTCACTCTTTGCACAATGTTTTCATTTCTCAGTAAAAAAAAAAGGGCCAAATTAGGCTTTTAAAAGTTTCACATTGAAGGCTCCATGATCAATTCCTTTAGAACAAATATACGGACGTTTCTAACTTACAGATTTCACCATTGTTCGTATAACTGTGGAATACTGCTAATTTACTAAGCCATTGCTTAAGGGTGCATGGACGGTAGCTTGCACTTACCACTGTTGTGCATGAACAGGCCAAATCAAGCCAAGCCTGCAACATTTATGATTTCGCAAATCTGGGCATCTTTAGAGATTCTGTTTTCTTCTATTTCAAATAACCCAACAATTAAGTGAACACAAAATTTTAAGATGAAACAGTTGGGGTTTACAAGTGTGCCCAAGCAAATGATCAATAGACCTTCCTAACACATATGTTACATGTAAAGCAGCACACCTCCAAATGCAAATTGCAAACAACATGTAAACATTTATGAAAATTTCAAAGAATACGTCAGAATATGCAAAAAGAGCCCTTAATATGTCAGTCACACAGAAGAAATATGGTTATAAATACTGCAAAATCAGTCAGTAACTGTTCATAACATGTAAATATTTGAATATTTTTACTTTTGTTAAAATCATAGTACATTTTCCCTAAGGTTCATGTTCTTGAAAATATTTAGCCTCACCTGGAGGCATGCAGCTTTACGTATTATGAAACACTGAAAAAGAAGTATAAATAAAAACACAAATAAAACAAGCTGAAACAACCATCAAAGTGACTTACTTGTGGAGGCAGTCATTGGCCTCATTAAAGGCGCACCTTTAGATACATGTTTCTTAATGTGAGCCTGCAAAAAAACAATATTTCTTATTGTGGGTTTTCAAATCTTATCTGGGTTTCATTTAACTTTTACCATTATAACTTTATGTTATAATACTGTTCACAATAGAGTAATCAAAATGTTGTGTTTATTATCAATGTCTTTACCACCAATTAATGTAACACCACTAAGTTTGTCTCAAATATGTGTCTAAAGTACAAGCAATAGCTCTAGTGGTTGATGAGTTATGTTGTACAAAAAGTTTGCAGGTATTGCTTTAACCAAAATGTTATGCCAACACGTACATATGGGTAAGTAGAATAATCAAACTATTCTTCAAATATCATCATCAAATAAACCTTAAAACTTAGCATATTTGATTGTTTATTCCACTTGATTAATTATCTTTACTATTCTTTGAAAAGTTATGCTAACAACTTGATTATTACTTACTCCGTCAATAATTTCTAGATCTGGTAGGACAGCCTGTATAGCTGAGAAGTAATGAGGCATGGAGCCATCTTGAGCACAAAAAGGATTCCCAGATATAAATAGCTCCACAAGTTCTGTCATCTCCTCTAAGTTATACTGAAATATACATAATTGAGCCACGTGATGATAAAATCAACATAATGGATTTGCGACCAGCATGGATCCAGACCAGCCTGCGCATACGCGCAGTCTGATCAGGATCCATGCTGTTTGTTTACAAACCCTATTACAAGTAGAGAAACTGATAGCGAACAGCATGGATCCTGATCAGACTGCTCGGATGCGCAGGCTGGTCTGGATCCATGCTGGTCGCAAACGCATTACTTTGGTTTTGTCATGACGCGGCTCATATGTTTCTAAAAATATATATAACAAAGCTTGCTGTGGCAGGTCCTTATATGAAAAAGTTTTCAATTAACAGCTTCAGTGACAAAAATTTCTTGGGTTGTAAAAATCATGCAATTTGAAAATTGTGCATATGGTTTTGTGCATAAACTGAAAATAAAATCCTGTAAATTTGCTAGAATTATTGATCCTATTAAACAACAAACCATGACATTTGTGATGTTTCAAATTAATACATTCAGAGTTAAGAAAGAAGAGACACATGAATTCTAAAGATGGAACAGCAAATTTCAATTAAAAAAAATTAAAACAAATACACCTCAGAAGTGGTTGCAGTGATTTTTCATCTTTTAAAGACCTCTTCCCAATGGAAATTTTCTTTAAATGGATACAGTTTTCCCACAAATCTGAAATAACTGAACTTTTTTACTTCTCCAATAAGCAATTTTAGCAATAATTCTTCCCAAAATCAAGATGGTATAAGGCGTCAGAAAAACCACTGTTTTGATACAAACTTACAAATTCATCCCAGTCTGTAATTTCATTGTTGATTAAATCCAGCACTTCAAGGGCAGGTAACTGTGTAGCAACTGTAGATAACTCACTAATACGATTCCCACTGGCTAAAAGATCTTGTAAACATCTGTTAGATAAAATAAGATGTATTTTACTGCACATGTTTTATATTACATTATTTTATACATATAAAATTACATGTATTAAAACTTTTTCCACAAAAAATATTTTACTTGTTCCAGTGATAAAATACCAAACTAAAATGAAATTTAATCATCACAAAAAGTCAGACAAATGCAAACACTGGTTAAGGATAGTATGTTTATCAAATTTATAAATTTGACATAAAAGACTAGTTTTACCCTTCCAGTGAAAATGGTGATGTTATAAAACAAATGGACATGTTCCAAATTTAAAGTCCATAGCAAACAAGAGCTGTCTGTAAGACATCACATTCAACTATTCACATTGCTTGACAGTATAAAAAGGGGAATATAGTCTGTAAAATAACTAAGAGTTCTGGGACCAAGTGTAAGTATTTTTTTAAACAAGTCCCTTCAGAAGTTTTGGAGATACCATTATTCATGCAAAAACTTAACTAAAGTGTGATGGCAACACCAACACAGATGCCAACGTGAGAAAAATATAATATAGCTTTCACTAGTCTTCAAATAGCTGAGCCGAAAATCAGTCTGCCCTAAGGGGTTTCAGGGATTTTTTTTGGCTTATTTTATAGCCGCTATAGGGTCATATTCCCCATTGAAAATTGTATATTAGTTTCCCAATCCACAGGAAAAAATTCCCAATTGAAAGTTACAAAATAAAAAAATTGAATAAAAATTCTAAAATCTTTGCAAATAAGGGCTTCTTCACTGTAATAGTGCTTAAATCTTTGAAGATGCCATCATAGACAGTAAATGTTTGCATCCATTTAATCCATGCAAAATTTCAGTCATGCATTTCTCCCAATTTTTAACAAAACACCGCTGAAATTCCCAATTCCATGGGTATGGGTCGTGTTCCCAAAATCCTGAAAAAAATCCCTGCGGTTTACAAACATATAATGTTTTATAATGATATAATTTGCATATTTCTAATAAAAACTCTTACTTTAATCTGCCCATTGTTTTTAAGCTGGTGAGCTGATTGTTGGAAATGTTTAAAGTCTGAAAAAGTAAACATGTAATAACTTTGGTACAGACATTGAAAGATCAAAACATTTCATCCATTTTACAGTTAATGGTTTAAAATGAAAATAAAAAGGGAGACAAATTTTCTTTCATTTAGATTGCTTTTATGTACTATATATACTTTATCTGCCTTTTCGTACATACGAAACTTTTGAAAAACTAAACACTATAAAAACAATATAAAAATTCTCAGAATTTATTTTAAAGTCTTAGCCCTTTGATGTTAATTTCTTAATTTATAGAATTCTATATTCATTCTTATGAACATTTCTATTTTTAACACAAAGATGTAAATGCACCTTGAGGAAAAGATCCCATCTCACATTTGATTTGAATTTGTGACCACTGGCTTACAAGCAAATAAACAGAATGCTCTAGACCACTGAACCAAACAATAGAAGTTGTCAGAATTTATATAAAAAATAAGTCATGGGCATAGGCAATAGGCATACATTCAAATGAGGCAACAAGTAATATAATTATTTTAGAATGAAGTAGAAACTTATTTAGATGACATTTGTAATAGGTACAGTATCATGGGCAGACAAAATTCACACTTACTAGAAGTTTTGGAAGCCCACGTAGACCGGACAAATCTGTGATCCTGTTTCCAGATAGATCTATCTCACTCAGACGCTTGCATTTGCTTATATCTGACACAGATCTTAAACGATTTCCTGATGCATTCACTTCCTCTAAATTTGGTAGGTAATTTAATGCCTGAAATAAGAATAGGAATTTGACATTTTTCATTAAGTCTTTTTCAGCAAGAAGTATGAGTCTGCTGTGGCCATTCTTCCTCCAAAATCAAAAAGGCATCATAAAAATCTTAAAGTAACTGCTGAACACATAATAATTAAAGTGTGGCTTCCCTTGATAGCCATTGTATTCATATTTTCTTGCACAGGTTATTCCAAGAATTCCAAATAATTACCTTTTGTACAAAAAAAGTGTTTTTTCCAAAGAAAATCGTCAAAAAAAATCATGCAGACTGCTTATTGGGAATTTTATGATTCTTAAGTAAAAAAACAAAACAAAAAAAACACACATGTTTTGGTATTGGTAATGCCTCCATTTACCATTAGTTACTATATCAGGTAAGAAAGGCCAGGTTTGCCTCTGACTTTGAAACCGCAAAATAACATTCTGATTAAAACTTAGAGCAGAGGAAATAACAGCAAAATTAGGTGATTTAAGCCATACGCTTATCAATTGATCGTTTAAGTGTCAATTAGACACCAACTTTAGACTGCTCATCTTGTCAGTGTCTGCTTGTCCCGTTATATCATGTCTCAGCTAGTAATTATAACAGAACTTACTGTAAGGCTATCTAACATGTTATAGCTGATATCTAACGTGGTAAGTTGAACACATATTGAAAGTTCCGATGTTTCTATCTTCAACAACTGGTTACAGTCTATTCGTAGATTCTTTAATTTCTTCAAGCTGTGAAGCCCTTTTCCTGAAAAAATTAAGTCTTAATTTATATTAACATACACAATTCCTAAAATATGCAAGAATTTCTAAGATAACTATCCTACAGAGTCTTGAAACAATTGAATAATTATGTAAATATTAAATGAAACAATTCTGTATTTATAACTAGATTAACATTAATTCTTCATAAAAAAAAACAACAACAAAAAACAGAAACAAAGGTTATAAAAAAATTTATGATACAAAACAACATTAATCAGTGAAATGCTCAACGATGCCATTGTCTTGGTTTATTTTTTAAGCCGACTTTAGCATGTTTGGTTGTATCTCTAAAACTTATTTTCTTCAATAACAGTGGTCATTTAAGCAAGGCATTCCTCTCCACCCCATTATAAACTGTTTAAGTTTTCCTCAAAAGTTCAATAAACAAGAGGGCCATGATGGCCCTGAGGTCGCTCACCTGTATATAGGCCCCCCAACCCCCCCCCCCCCCAACGTTGCAGGGCCAATTTAACCCAAGGGCTTTTATTTGCACAAACTTGGTAGACACCCATAAGAAGATGTTTCATGCTAAACATCTAAGCTCTAGCTTATTGGGCTTTTTAAAAGAAGATTTTTTTTAAAGTTTTTACTATACACATATAGTTAAAAACAATGACACCCCTGGGGCCGGGCCAGTTTTGACCCCAGGGCTTTTATTTGAACAAACTTTGAAGACACTTACTAGAAGATGTTTCATGCTTAATATCTAAACTCTAGCTATTTGGGGTTTTTCAAAGAAGATTTTAAGTTTTTGCTATACACATATAAGGAAAATCAATGACCCCCCGGCGGTGCCAATTTTGACCCCAGGGCTTTTATTTAAACAAACTTGGTAGACACCTATTAGAACATGTTTGATGCTAAATATCTAAGCCATAGCTCTTTGAGTTCTTTAAAAGAAGATTTTTTAAGTTTTTACTATATGCATATAGGGAAAATCAATGACCCCCTCTGGCGGGGCCAGTTTTGACCCTAGGGCTTTCATTTGGACAAACTTGGTAGACACTTATTAGAACATGTTTCATGCTAAATATCTTAGCTCTAACTCTTTTGGTTCTTTAAAAGAAGATTTTTTAAGTTTTTACTATATGCATATAGGGAAAATCAATGACTCCCTGGGGCGGGGCCAATTTTGACCCCAGGGCTTTCATTTGGACAAACTTGGTAGACACTTATTAGAACATGTTTCATGCTAAATATCTTAGCTCTAACTCTTTTGGTTCTTTAAAAAAAGATTTTTTAAGTTTTTACTATATGCAATAGGGAAAATCAATGACCCCCCGGGGCGGGGCCAATTTTGACCCCAGGGCTTTTATTTGAACAAACTTGGTAGACACTTATTAGAACATGTTTCATGCTAAATATCTTAGCTCTAACTCTTTTGGTTCTTTAAAAGAAGATTTTTTAAGTTTTTACTATATGCATATAGGGAAAATCAATGACCCCCGGGGCGGGGCCAATTTTGACCCCAGGGCTTTTATTTGAACGAACTTGGTAGACACCCATTAGAACATGTTTCATGCTAAATATCTTAGCTCTAGCTCTTTGGGTTCTTTAAAAGAAGATTTTTTAAGTTTTTACTATATGCATATAGAGAAAATCAATGACCCCCCGGGGCGGGGCCAATTTTGACCCCAGGGCTTTTATTTGAACAAACTTGGTAGACACTCACTAGAAGATGTTTCATGCCAAATATCTAAGCTCTAGCTCTTATGGTTTTTTTAAAAGAAGACATTTAAATTTTTTTCTTTCGGTTGCCATGGCAACCAGAGTTCTACATGGAATTAAATTCTTTGAACAATTTTTAAAGGTGACCACCAAAGGAACATTCCTGTGAAGTTTGAATGAAATTGGCTTGGTGGTTTATGAGGAGATGTCATTTAAAGTAAAAGTTTACGGCCGGACGCCGGACGGACGGACGCCGGACGAAAAGCGATCACAAAAGCTCACCCTGTCACTTTGTGACAGGTGAGCTAAAAAACAATTGTTTTTCTCAGTTGCAAAAATACTGTGTCATTTTCACCAAAGAGAACAGCCTATTTCCCTACCTGTGAAAAGAAAACTCATGAGCATAGTTGTCAATAAATAAAGGCACTATGTGAAACTGTAGTAAAGGTGACATAATGATGGATAAAAGATTACTCCCTTGTGAAATATCTGTGTAGAATAAATATTAAGAAATACTTTACCTATTGATTTGATTTTGTTATGCTGAAGCTGTAAACTGCTCAGATCCTTCAAACTGAAACACAATAACACAACATTTAGAAATAATATTAACAAGAGGGCCATGATGGCCCTGAGTCGCTCACCAGAAACAACTGCTTTTCAGTGTTGGAAATTATCCATTGTCAATATTTTCTGATATTAAATTTGAGCCAATCAAATTAATATGAGCAAACTTGATAAAAGACTACCTAATAATGCTACAAAGTTTGGTGATCATCTATCAATTATTTCAGTAGGAAATGATGTTCAAAGGTTTTTTTTTCTATTTTAGGCTTTAGTGGCCCCTAAAAGGGGCCAATCAAATTAATATGAGCAAATTTGATAAAAGACTACCCAAGAATGCTACAGACAAAGTTTGGTGATCATCCATCAATTAGTTCTCAAGATATAGAGGTTTAAAGGTTTTTCTATTTGTAGCTTTAGGGGCCAATCAAATTAATATGAGCAAACTTGATAAAAGACTACCCAAGAATGATACAAAGTTTGGTGATCATCGATCCATTAGTTCTGTAGAAGAATATGTCTAAAGGTTTTTCTATTTTTAGCCCTAGAGACGCCTAAAAGGGGCAAATCAAATTAATGTGAGCAAATTTGATAAGAGACTACCAAAGAATGCTACAGACAAAGTTTGGTGATCATCCATCTATTAGTTCTGTAGTAGAAGATGTTTAAAGGTTTTTCTATTTTTAGCTCTGTTGACCCCTAAAAGGGGCCAATTGAAATCAAGTGTGACTGTCACAAGGATGCTACAGACCAAATTTGAAGTAAATCCGCCCAGTAGTTTCAGAGAAGAAGACGATTGTTGGCGCATGACAACATGACGGACGACGGACGCCAGAGTATCCCCCTTTGATACCGATAGCTCACCCGGAGCCATTCGGCTCTGGTGAGCTAATAAATCAAAACAAAGATGCAGTATTAAGGTCTAAGTAAGAAAATGAGAGTGGTAGCCTCGTGGTTAAGGTGTCTGCCTCTCAACCCACGGATCAGGAGTTCAAACCCTACTCAAAATAAATGACTATGTTTCCTCATAAGACACCAGGACTGGTTAGTTCCAGGTAACCTACTCAAAAGTGATATGAGTTGCAAGAACTTGTTTCGCAATCAAGCTTAAATAAATATGTTTAAACTAACTAAGAATTGATGGGACATCTTTTTTTTTTTGCTTCTTTTTTTAACAGTTCCCATGAAACAATTTTATGCAACATTTTATATGCTAAATGAAAATTTCTGTCAGTGCTATCATTCAAAACAATAATCACATCTTTCTACAGGTCCAATACTTTGAATTAAGATCAAAAATCTTAAAAAACATTCCAGCATTAGGGGTCAGATGGGAATTAATCAATAAAACTAGTCTCAAATGAAATCTTAACAAATATAATTTAGTAAGTTTATAGTAAACTTACTTTTCTAAACCATCTATCTTTCTCAATCTGTTATCATATAATTTAAGTTCTTTTAAATCCTGTAAAAAAAGTAAAAGAACCCATTAAATACTAAATAGTGACATTAATTCACAATGCAATTAATACAACATATTTCATACTGCACATTTGTTAAGTCACTTTTCATTGGATATATGTGATGTGATTTTATTTTACCCTTGATGGTAAATGTAATTTTCAAGCTAATATTGTATCAAAACAAGTTTTATGAATCAAAATGATGATAAAGAAAGAAGGTTGTATGTTCTGACAGATATTACTTACCCTATTAAAGTCAAGATTTTGCACTTGTTCAATAAAATTACAGGATAAATCTAGCACTTTCACCTTTTTAAACTGTAAAAAAGATATAAAAGTGTCCAATCAAAACCAATTACAAATTGAATATAGTTATATATTTCAATACAAAATCTTGAACATAACATTGCTGTTCAAATAAACTGTAAAAACCAAAATGTCATTATACAATGTTGATAACACTCCTAGACATGACTATATAGCATTTATTAAAACACCTTTACAACAACTTTATTTGATACACAAATAGAAAGATTGATGTCACTGAAAATATTTTTTCTATATCAAAAGTTTTACTTTAAGTGTAGAAAGCTATATATTTGAATACTTCCAAAATGTTTGCATGAAATAAATGTTTTAGTAAAGTGCCTTGAAAGCAATTATGACACATGCACAAAATCATTGCCAAACGGATAAACCCCTACTTAAATCACAGAATAATATTTTGTTTCAGAACATTTTATCCTGTGTTCATACAATATTCATATGTTACTGTTAAATAACAGAGGCATGAAATGTTACAACTCTTGCAAGAATCCTGTATTAAGAGGGCGTCACAATACCTCCCCGTCTGATGACTAGATACCATTTTTGTATTTTGATATACTTGAATTAGACTGTTCCAAATTCAAAGCATCACAAATCAATTACAAAAATATGTTTAAAGTGAAACACATACCTTATCCATATTGTCTATATTAGTAATTTCTGATGCATGTAGATTTATTTCATAGATCTTCAGAAAATCAGACTCCATATTTTGGGCAAGCTGCAAAATATACCAACAAACACACATAATTATGAATTTAAAGTTTAGATAAAAAGGCATTTGCTGCCAAATCCTGATTAATTGCAGAGATCCCACAACTTTCTTTGAGACTGTGTTTTGATTTCTTTTTTTAAATATATCTTATTTCATGTCTAGTTCTGCGTCATCTGAACACTGTAGAGGTCATAAGGCGACAACTTGACTGATGGATGAAGATTCTCAAAACCCACCCTGCAATATTCCAAGGGAATGTATGTATGTGGGTGACTTTTAAAGTAAAACCAATGACCTCTCTAAAGCTAGCTGAATAACTTCTTTATAATATATGGAATAATCCAAAGGTCCTGGCATGATTCAGATACATCTTTAAATAAGATGGGTAAGTGATTGTAAGTCAGCCAACTAAACAAATTTGCCATGCAAGCACTGTGGTTCTTTTTTATAAATTGAATACAAATACCAATCTGTGCAAAACAATGTTATTTCCTTATACTGCATTCTGACTAAATATAAAGCATATCACAAATATATTAGCAGTCTTTTATTCATATAATACTGTCATTTATTTATAGCCAAACATTAAATTATGAAAGGTAAACCAATTTTTGTAAGAAGCACTTAAATTTTACCAAAAAATATATAACAAGGGGTTAATCATGTCAACACACTATGTTACTTATTTATTCAAGTCCACTAAATTATATGCATATCACAAATAAAATAAAGCATTTTTTTTCTAATTTAATTTCACTTACAATTTCCTCTGGGTCAATTGTTTTGTATGGCTTTTTTCCATTTTCCTGTGGTCTTTGACCAGCTGACCCCGGCACTGACCCTGGAGACCTTTTATTTTTTGAGCTTGATTTTGACCTTTGTGATGGCACATCTGTGAATCTAATATCTTGTTCCTCCGCAGTTCCTCTATCATCATCGTCTATATCATCATTCGGTCTGGTACCAGAACTCCTTCTAGCTGAACGCTTACCTGCAGAGAAAAGTCTTCAAATAAAGTTTTGCAAGTTAAAAATATGGTTTACTATTTACTTATTCTAATGCAAACTTTATTGACCAGTACTTTATAAAGCAACATAAAGTTAGTGAAATCACAATTTCAGAAGTTTCAAGATGGTTTCACATGTTGAAATGTTCACCAATTCCTAACAGCTAAATAAAAAGTAAAATCTACAATTATTCTATGCAATATATTCAATTTAGTTGAAACACATTTACTGCCAATTTCACAGTTTATCTGAAAAATTCTTGCTTCCCTGTTTTTTCATGGATCTTGAAAAGCAACCGTAACTGTCTGCTTGTAAATACTTGTTTCTGACACATAGTACATGTACATATCAGGTTGCACCAAAGGCTAAGTGGACAGAGTATAATGTTTGAAAGCCAGGTATTTGTTTAACGCAGGTATTCCTGTCAAATAATTTATACACCACCAGGGAAAACTTACCACTAGTAGCCCCTGGAGAAACTTTAGTTGACATAGATCTAGAACTTGCCGGTGATATGCGAGAGCTTGGTGCTCTTGATGAATATGAAGATCTGACAATGAGAAAGAAAAATGCATTACAGAAAGGTGTGTAAAAACTAATAAAATATTTACATCTTTTACCCTTCCTCCCTAAATTTCAATTTGGGTTTAAGTCATACACTTGGCACTAACACTGTTAAAGACATACAGTGACATTCCAGCATTACTCTTAGAAGGATATATAAGGACATCTCATTTCAGGCTACATGTACATATGATTTCAATAAATGAGCCCTGTCACGACAAAACCAATATAATGCGTTTGCGACCAGCATGGATCCAGACCAGCCTGCGCATCTGCGCAGTCTGATCAGGATCCATGCTGTTCGCTATCAGTTTCTCTACTTGTCATACGGTTTGTAAGCGAACAGCATGGATCCTGATCAGACTGCGCGGATGCGCAGGCTGGTCTGGATCCATGCTGGTCGCAAACGCATTATGTTGGTTTTGTCATGACGCGGCTCAAATAGACTTGTTCTACTCTAGCCCTTAACCTGCTGAAAACGAAAATTATTAACATTTGGCACAAGTCTGAAGAGGCTCTACTCTAATATTTGAACAATTAATAGTTTATAATCTACAAGTAAATCTCAAAGAAAAAAATACAAAAATTAAGTAACCACAGTTTTAAAGGGCATGACCAAATTTCACAGCTACTGTATGCAAGTTGAAATGAACTCAATTAAGAAGGGTAAATAAATTGTGACCTGTGCCCTGAAACAGTTTATATAAAGCATAATCAGCATATCTAATGTAAAAACATGATCAATTTTGGATAATCTAGAGGCTAGTGCATTCTTAAACCAAAAGGAAAACAACAACAACAAATGCCGTTAATAAAAGTTAACATATATACATTTCAAAGTAGAATTGAAAATTTGCTTATTATCTAAGTTGTTCTTTTTAAACGCGCATATCTACATTTAAATTGTTCAAAGTGAAAAGTGCTTTATGCAAAGAGTTTTTTTGTGTATTTTCTTAATTTTATTAAGCCTTTTTCACATATTTGATGAACAGTCAAAACTGACAAAATTAAAATGATTCATCAGAAACTAACCTTGCACTGCTTACTGTAGACTGGTTGTCAAATCTATCTGTATCTACCTCGCCATACTGACTGGAAATCGAACTTGAACTACCGGGAGATTTCTTTAAAGAATTTGAGGTGAACTTTGAGCTTTGACCTCTAGAAGATGACATAGTGCTGCTAGCATTTCTGGACCCGCCAATTTTTCTTTAAATTGGAGTAAAGTATGAATATTATTACATAAATTAAAATGAATACAATAACTGCAGATATATTTCATTGACTTTGTCTACATAAAAAATCTTTCCCATACTTAAATGTCCCTTATTATATTTCTTTGCAAAAAACAAAAATTCTTTATATAAGTTACTTTATTTATCAAAACAAATTATGAAAAATCTATTTTATTGTATTTTCACATAAAATAATCATGGTTTAATGCAGTATTTAATTTCAATGACATTCTATTTCTTAAAAGTATTTGAAATATACTTACTTATCTCCACCTGTTGAGACATCTGAATACATTGATTCTAAATCATTCTCACTATGAACTTTCCTAGTCTTGCTTAATGATGACCCATGAGGTTTACTAGCAGATGACTGGCCACGTGAAACCTGACTTGAAGAACCTGATGGCGGTCTTGACTGATAAGATGTATATGAATCTGGTGAAATGTCTGTGCCACCAATTGGTATTTTATCCCTTTAGAATATAAAAATGATAAATCTTCAATCTTAAAGAACTTTACTTGGCCTTGTCAATAAGTGAAAGTTACATACATGTAGTAAAAATTGTTTGTTTGGTCATTTAAATCTCAGTTTTCCCTTATAGTGTTAAATCTTAGGTTTAAATATCAAAGTAAACAATGTTTAAGGGTAAGAAAGGAGTGTAGCAGTGTGAAGTTAATCACGCCATCAATGACAGATGTACTAAAACCTGTAATGCCCTTGACAGCAACATCACGGAAAATATAGAAAGTAAACAAACAAGTACCATAATGCTGAGCTATGAAGTCATTCGTTTCAAAAACGGAATCACTTTATCTGTATTGAGCACTATGTTTTCACATGAAAATAAATTTTTTTAGTCGCTATATAAAGATTTATAATAATGTGATATGTATCCAAGACAGTTTCATGTTTAATAATCCAAAATTTGCGAAACTCAAGTTTATAATTTTGTCAATGTGACAACACACATCCTGTCTGCAAAATTGGCTGAAAAGGAGTCTCACCGATATAAAATTCCACCATCAAAATTTACATTAAGATATTCATGCAAAGAATAAAAACAAAAACCTAGTTTATAGCTGCATACATGTATATGTTAAAATACTGGTTGGGGACCACCAAAACCGGACAACCACCAAACCTGGATGGCTCCAAAAATGCTTAATTTAGTATTTTCTTTGTTCAGTGGTTGTCAGTTACTTTTTATCAACAATAAATGCATGTTTCTTCTAAAATTAAGTTAATAAATTTATTTCCGTAAATGGTAATATTTTAATGTCTATTTCAAGAATGTTGACGTTGAAATTTGGGGGTCAAGAAAGCAATGCCTGACCTCATATACCAACTATAATCATTTGCAGTGTAAATAATAGAATATCCAAAACTTCAGCATTTGTTGCTGAAATACTGTATAACATGTTAAAAATCAAAAATTAAAACACCCAAGCTTTTATCTAAATTAAATCACATCATGTACATATCTGTCCGGACACATGGTACTGTAGTGTAGACATTTTAGGTAATTTTTATACCCCTCTTTTCGAGCCTCAGATAAAAGTGTCAATACAATCAGAAATAAACAAACTAGTTTGTTACTTAGGAGAAGAACCTAGCTGAACTGTCTCAAATTTTTAGGTCTCTATATATGGTTAAAAATTATGAAATCTGTACGGAAAAATGTTCAAAAAGTGTTCGGTTGATGGTTCGCGACCTGTAATGTTAAGTATTGTTTAAAGAAAAATAAATATGTTTTCAGAACTTATGTTCGTGTTTTTATGGGTGCCTTGATAACAAGTTGATTCGATTTGTGAATATCAAGTGCTGAATCGTGGATCAGATTAGATTGTCTTGCATGAGATCCTGGGAATCCAAGACTGTTTACAGTATTTTTTATTTTATCTTGGGGGAGAAGAAGTTTCTGACATGCCTACGCATGGTACACCTGTGATTCATATATACAGCAGCAATGAAAGCATTCAGTATTTTTTTAATCAAAGCAAGCCATGAACAGATGAAGTGTCACATTTCTTGCAACGACAGGTGCGACTTACCCATTTGTCCGTCGTATTTTTGTTCCCCCACTTATCGGTAATACTCCGACTTGTCTGCCGAGTGTATTCGGTATAGCTCCATGCTGTCTAGTCTTTACACGTCCTTCCATCATTATAATTGCACAAGATTTATGTTTTTACCTCAAGGATAGAAATTTGTTTACCTTGGATATCCTCCATGTTGGAATTTTTAGAACGGTTTACAATTTTATTCATCTTACAGACCTCGTTCGTAAAGATGAAAATACACAGTCCAGTCTATTTTACATACCACGTGACAGTCACATGATACAATCAATAGATTTCCCGCGAAATGTCAGATAATATGCAATCAATCATAAGCAATTTTCTTACAATAACCAGATGATGCACTTTCTCTGTTGCTTAAAGTTGTTTACACAAAATAATATCGATGTTTATTTCTTTTTGCAGGAAATGTAAATAATGTGCATATTTGTGATAAAATGGGGTATATTTTCTTAAGAAGAAATCTGACAATGAATAATTAATTAGAATTAGTGATTTATTCAATATTGGGTGTGAATTATAGAATGTACCCGATAAACACCGTGTTTTAGTCATAGATAATGTTATTTATGGCTATGGTTACATGATTTGATCAAAGTAAACACATGATATCATTGGAGCATTCCACAATTTTCTCTAAGGTTTATTCTGTAATTGTGGTATAATATGCTGAATTACCAACAAACATTTGAGATAATAAGTGTGGATTTATGAATAAGAAAATATCTCTTTCAAGAGGAATTTACAGACTTATTTTATATGTAAATGTTGAATATGAAGAAAATTTAAAGTAGACTCAAGAATTTGTGGCGGCGTGGCCGAGTGGTTAACGCGTCGGACTAGTAATCTAAGGATTGCTGACCGCGTGGGTTCAAACCCTGTCAGGGACAAGCCGTTGTTTCCTTGAGCAAGAAACTTTACATTCATTGCTTAGTACTGGTTGGTTCCAGGAACGGATTCGAGAGTGTTTCAATAAGCTTATAGCTTCCAACACAATCGAACTAAAATAAATTTGTATAAACCAAGAATTTGTTTTATTTTAAGTTCAAGAAAGTGTTAGCTCTATCTGGGACAAAAAATAACTTGTCCCTGAGGCATTATGGACAATATTGTGGAATACCAATACATCTTTTTAGACATTATGACTGAATAAAAAAAATATAAGAATTTGTAAGTTATGAAACTCCTGGAAATAATCTTCTGGACAAAGTTTAAATTATGACTTATTCCAAAATGCCTCTCAGAACACTCAAGTGGCCAAAGCACTTTGGCTTTGATATAGTTGGGCAAGGCCCATGTTTTGTTTTACATGTTGAAAGAGGAAGTATTGCTTACAATTCAGGACTACAGTGTGGTGACCAAATACTTGAACTTGATGACCAAGATGTTACAAACATGTCAGCGGAGGCACTGAAGACACTTGCCAAGCACAGCCGGAGTCAGCCGCCAACCCTTGGTGTGGTGTCTCGGATACTTCACGTTGATGTGGTAGGGAATAAGTCGGTGGGACTGGGGATGGTGGTCAGTGACAGTAAACCTGTACATGTGTGGACTGTGGAGAATAATGGACCAGCTCACGTGATGGGAATAAGACCAGGTGATAGAGCAGTTATAAAAATAGATTTGTTGTTGTCTATGTATATATGCATTGCTCACACCAAGTCTAAAACTAATGTCAGTTACCTTTGGACAAACCTTAGGTGTCCTAGTTTCCAAGGGATTTTTAAATGCACATGTGGGTTCCTGTGCACAAAAAATGAAATACAATAACAGATGAGCTGAGTAAATAAGCATTTTAACATGAAGGTTATCTTGAGAAAAAAAAGTCATATGATATTATATATGATGCATTTAATTTATGTAGCTCTTTATTATATCAGTGACCAGTAACACTTTACTTGCATGTCTTCTTTCAAGAATAGGTATTTATACATTGAATTATGTTTTAATATACATTTATAAATAACATTTGGCTTGAAGAAGAGGTTATCTTATTGAGGTGCAGTGGTCCAGTGGTGGGACATGGATTTTTTAGAATTATAAGGTAACCCTTGTTGGTTTGAGTCATATCCGGGACACTGCCTCATTGCTTGACACCATTGTTACTGTTCAACAAGGTGTGAATAGCTACACAATAGGATGATATAACTCCATGGGCCATAATGTGGGCTGTCGTAAGTGAAATGAAAGACCACCCAAGGAAACATGGATTCTAATGGCATGTAATGCCCATGATAAAGGCTTTATATGGTTGGTTAGTGTGTGACTAGCATGGGAATCTCGACTATAAGATGCTATTACTTTTATCTTATTAAAGAGTTGGTTTTTTTTATTTGATATAATTGGTATTATTGCACTCTTCCTTAAAACATTAAATACATACATTTTAATTTCAGAGGGTAATTAAAAAGAATCTAATTAGTTTCATGCTTAATAAAATCAAGAATTACTAGATCAATCAACAGTTGTTGAAAAATCTTTTGACTGAACCCTTTTGTATATTTTGAACACGTGCATCTATGTAAACTGATAAAGTAAACTATTACAAAACCTGAAATGAACAACACTGTTGAAAGAAATCAAAGCAGATAAACATTGATTTGTTGTTATATACATAATGCATGACCTCAGCATTTCTCAGCAGAAATGCTGGCTCCAGGAATTAAATAAATTAGAATAAAAATAAAAACAAACACTTGTAATATACAGCTTGTATGATATAGCTTGTATGATATAGCTTGTATGATATTGCTTGTATGATATTAGCTTGTATGTTATTGCTTGTATGATATAACTTGTATATGGCCATTTTCCTGCAGAATTTCAAGACAGCATTTATCAGAAATATCTAGCTGCTTGGAAACTTTGATAATTATATCTTCTGTGAAATGAAAGATTTAAAAAATTATTTTTTGGTCCTGAATTATTAGTCTTAGGGCATAAATTTGATGTCATATACATTTTACATCAAGGTTACCCATTATTGTTCAAAATTTAAGGTGTTTTTTACTTTATTGTGATTATCTTATTCAGCATTAAGAATTTTAAAGGTGCTAAGTATGGTGTTTTGATTGATGAAGTTTCTTAAGATATGTTAGAAACCCAGAGATAAATGTGATGTAGAACATACATGTACATGTATTTAGCTTCATTGCAAGCTCAAAAATAAGAGGGTAGTGCTGACTTGGCTCAGAACTTTAAAATAACTGAAAATTGCTTGCCTGACTGATACTTCAAAAAGGGACAGTACAAGCCTAGCTCAGTACTAAGAAGCTTAGGGACAGTACTAGCCTGGCTCAGTACTAAGAAGCTAAGGGACAATGCTAGCCTGGCTCAGTACTAAGCTAAGGGACAGTGCTAGCCTGGCTCAGTACTAAGAATCTAAGGGACAGTGCTAGCCTGGCTCAGTACTAAGAAGCAAAGGGACAGTGCTAGCCTGGCTCAGTACTAAGAAGCTAAGGGACAGTGCTAACCTGGCTTAGTACTTAGAATCTAAGGGACAGTGCTAGCCTTGCTCTGTACTAAGAAGCTAAGGGACAGTGCTAGCCTTGCTCAGTACTAAGAAGCTAAGGGACAGTGCTAGCCTGGCTCTGTACTAAGAAGCTAAGGGACAGTGCTAGCCTTGCTCTGTACTAAGAAGCTAAGGGACAGTGCTAGCCTGGCTCAGTACTAAGAAGCAAAGGGACAGTGCTAGCCTGGTTCAGTACTAAGAAGCTAAGGGACAGTGCTAACCTGGCTCAGTACTAAGAATCTAAGGGACAGTGCTAGCCTGGCTCAGTACTTAGAATCTAAGGGTCAGTGCTAGCCTTGCTCAGTACTAAGAAGCTAAGGGACAGTGCTAGTCTGGCTCAGTACTAAGAAGCTAAGGGACAGTGCTAGCCTGGCTCAGTACTAAGAAGCTAAGGGACAGTGCTAGCCTTGATCAGTACTAAGAAGGTAAGGGACAGTACTAGCCTGGCTCAGTACTAAGAAGCTAAGGGACAGTGCTAGCCTGGCTCAGTACTAAGTAGCTAAGGGACAGTGCTACCCTGGCTCAGTACTAAGAAGGTATGTGACAGTGCTAGCCTGGCTCAGTACTAAGAAGCTAAGGGACAGTGCTAGCCTGGCTCAGTACTAAGAAGGTATGTGACAGTGCTAGCCTGGCTCAGTACTAAGAAGCTAAGGGACAGTGCTAGCCTGGCTCAGTACTAAGAAGCTAAGGGACAGTGCTAGCCTGGCTCAGTACTAAGAATCTAAGGGACAGTGCTAGCCTGGCTCAGTACTTAGAATCTAAGGGACAGTGCTAGCCTTGCTCAGTACTAAGAAGCTAAGGGACAGTGCTAGCCTGGCTCAAAGCTAAGGGACAGTGCTAACCTGGCTCAGTACTAAGAATCTAAGGGACAGTGCTAGCCTGGGCGCAGTACTTAGAATCTAAGGGACAGTGCTAGCCTTGCTCAGTACTAAGAAGCTAAGGGACAGTGCTAGCCTGGCTCAGTACTAAGAAGCTAAGGGACAGTGCTAGCCTGGCTCAGTACTAAGAAGCTAAGGGACAGTGCTAGCCTGGCTCAGTACTAAGAAGCTAAGGGACAGTGCTAGCCTTGATCAGTACTAAGAAGGTAAGGGACAGTACTAGCCTGGCTCAGTACTAAGAAGCTTAGGGACAGTGCTAGCCTGGCTCAGTACTAAGTAGCTAAGGGACAGTGCTAGCCTGGCTCAGTACTAAGAAGGTATGTGACAGTGCTAGCCTGGCTCAGTACTAAGAAGCTAAGGGACAGTGCTAGCCTGGCTCAGTACTAAGAAGGTATGTGACAGTGCTAGCCTGGCTCAGTACTAAGAAGCTAAGGGACAGTGCAGCCTGGCTCAGTACTAAGAAGCTTAGGGACGGTTCTAGTCTGGCTCAGTACCAAGAAGCTAAGGGGCAGTGCTAGCCTTGCTCTGTACTAAGAAGGTAAGGGACGGTTCTAGTCTGGCTCAGTACCAAGAAGCTAAGGGGCAGTGCTAGCCTGGCTCAGTACTAAGAAGCTAAGGGGCAGTGCTAGCCTTGCTCTGTACTAAGAAGCTTAGGGACAGTGCTAACCTGGCTATGTACTTAGAAGCTAAGGGGCAGTGCTAGCCTTGCTCTGTACTAAGAAGCTAAGGGCAGTGCTAGCCTTGCTCTGTACTAAGAAGCTAAGGGGCAGTGCTAGCCTTGCTATGTACTAAGAAGCTAAGGAGCAGTGCTAGCCTTGCTCTGTACTAAGAAGCTAAGGGGCAGTGCTAGCCTTGCTCTGTACTAAGAAGCTAAGGGGCAGTGCTAGCCTTGCTCTGTACTAAGAAGCTAAGGGACAGTGCTAGCCTTGCTCAGTATTTTCAAAGTAAATAGAGAGATAGTTCTTGCCTGGCTCAGTACCTTTTAATTAAAGCCAATCAAAATGTCTTACATTTGATCTGTTTGGTAAAATTGCTTTAATAATATAATCACATGTTTGTCAATATATTCTTCCCTAGGTGATGTGATAGCTGAAGTCAATACAAACCCAGTGTATTCAGTGGATGATTTGAAACCATACCTTGGTAGTTATTCAAGGAGGGTAACTCTCTCAATTATCCCCCTAGGCAAGTACGCCCAACCATCTGTCCCTGCTAAGACTGATCCTCCAGAGACCAATGGGAAACAAGTATCTGAAGGGAGCAGAGTTAAGAGAGCCAAAGACCTGCATGACAAGGTACTGATTGTACTTGTTTCATTTATTTCTAGTCTGTTTTAAAATAAAGCTAAGAATTATATGATTCTATGAAGCGAAATGTTCAAGTGAGGTTTATATTGTTTGATATGTAAATATTTTAATATCATTGGTCACTGGATGGGTTATTGTTTACAGTTGAAAAATAACTGGGGTTTGATTTATGACCATCGTCAGTATTTACAACGTCACATCAATAAGTTGGTTTCCAGTACTGCTGTGCATGCTGGTATTTCACTGAAACAGCGTAACAACTGTGAAAAATATCAAATTGTAGTTATTATTTCACTGATATATTTCTATAAACCACCAAAAGCATTTAATAAAATGTTGTTAATAAACTTACATTTAAACAAGACAAAAAACAAACTTATGATATACTATTTTAGTAAGTAAATCTTTTGATAATTAAGTATCATATAACTAATAAGTATAGTGGCTGATTTGTGCCATTCATGTTTTTGCCCCACTACCCCACCAAGCGAAAAGTCGAGAATAAACAAGTGGGGGGCAAGGAGCGAAAACACGCTAATAAGCAGGGGTGCAGGGCCAAGTTTAATATAAAAAACAGCGGGGCGCAGAGCAAAAACATGCTTATTAGCGCCCCATCTAATTAGCGTGTTTTTGTTCTGCGCACCCACCATTTGAACTTGTAAATTATCGACCCGGGACGAAAGTTAATAAATAAAATTTCGCCCCACACCCTCGCTAATAAGTGTGTTTTCTCTCCGCGCCCCCGCCATTTTAACTTGTTAATTCTTGACTTTTCGCTTGGTGGAGTTGCAGGACAAATACATGCTTATTAGCCGAGGGGGCGCATGAAGTCTTATTTATTAAATCTTGCTCTTCCCCCGATGTGGGCGAAGTTTTATTTATTAAACTTTGCCCGTGCCCTCGCTGATTATTGTGTTTTTTGCTCTGCGCACCGGCCATTTTTACTTGTTAATTCTTGACTTTTTCACTTGGTTGGTCCTGGGGCTACAACAGGAATGGCACAAATCAGCCACCATAGATAAGTATATTTTTTTTCACTAAGAATTGAAATAGCAGGCATTAATTTGTTATATTGTGCATCTATGTGTAATATTAGTAAATAGCATTTTGTGCACCGGTTTCAACTCGACTGTGAGAGGGGAAGGGGGGGGGGGGGACAGTTTCACCTAGTTTTTGTATAAATAATATAAAAGTGTAGATTATATAGTGATTATCAGAATCAGAATTATTTCATTGTTATGATAAAATTTAGTTAATGGAAGTGTCTTTATAATAATGAAAAATGGCTTAATTATATGATGTAATTAAATATAATAGGATGAAAGTAGTATAATGATGGTGTATCTTCAAGAACTGTTTAGTTTCATTACATTTTGACACTATACATGCAATCTTCTTGAGAGTTTCTTAAGAAAAAGCACTTGAGATGGAAAAAAACAACACTTAGAGAAAATACCATCTTATCATTCCGTTCTCTATAGGTAATAATGCTTTCAAAGACTTAATTAACTTTTACCATGTTTTATATCTTAAATGAAATTGTCCATCTTTCACTCTTGGCAGTCAGTTATCATTTTTAGTGAAAATTTCAATAAATATACTGACTTAATAGGGATCACAATGCAGACCATGATCAGATGGCACAGATTATGCCGGCTGATCTTGGTCTGCACTGGTCACATGATTCACTGACCTCCAGCAGCTCCTGGATAATAATAGAGGTTGGCATTGATGACACACTTATATAAGTTCTTCAGTTAACTCAAAGTTATGAAATTAACAAGAACTCTTATGTTAATATTAAAAATTGAGTGAAAAGGTGAAAAAGATTAAACAACTCTACCAGTTTTGAGCCATACCAACCTGTATTATTGGTGCGAATTGAGCAGATACTGTACTATTGATTGCTACTGACATTTGAGATTAAATTCATGTTGAAAATCCTTTGATTTAATAATAGAGAGACCATTACATAACAGAGGCAGGGTTTTCCATTTCTATAATGGCAGTTTTTATTTAACTAATTATATACCAAGACATATACAATTTTTTTTTACCAACTAATGATATTTAGTTGAATCAGCACTGCTATGGGTCTTGAGACAAAATGCATTGACTCAGTTGTCCTCCCCCTTCACGCCATTCAAAAATATTTGGTTAATACTGGACTTAACCTTGCCAAGTACTATACAGAGTACTGTTGTACAATGTATTCAAGAGCATTACATACTCCTGTTACTTCAATGTGGATAATTACTAAATTACTCTCAGGACATCAGAAAACACAAGCAGATGTTTCAGCCATAAAAGGTCATAATCCTAACCTTGGCATGATGATTTAGTTGGTACATAAATATACAGCTATAACTAAGTTACATGTGTAACAAAATTTGCCTCTGCCACAGGTTTAATTCTTTAATTCTTTCACAATATTTTATATATTATAAGTATATTTATACCAAAATTTAAATTATAGACAAATTGGCCACAGTCATGAACCACACTAATTTTTTAATGCACAAATTGTATGGTCTATAAAAATATAAAATTTGCATCCCCTTACCAAAATGACTTTAAGTGACTTATATGTTTCTTATATGCAACTTATACTTGACCTATAAGAGAACTATAAGTTACATATAAGTCACTTATAAATCACCTAAAAACCTGTCTAAGTCAGTTATAGGTATATGCTACATATAAGTCACTTTTGGCCATTTTTTCCCCAACATATAAGTCACCTATAAGTGCCTTATACTGGTGAAGTTTGGTCGTAACCAGTTTCTATGTTAGATATAAGTGAAAACTTAGAACTTTTGCAAGACTTTTTATCACTGAGCAAAGCTGAAAAAATTACTAAGTACAAAAACATGAGAAAAATTGATAAAATTTATTGAAGTTGATTTGTAATTCTTTGCTTTAACACAATGGGTATCAAAATACTCAGAATTTAAAATACTATAATCTTAGACCTTAATCACAAACAATTAAGATTTTTTTTTAAATGTTGCTTATTAATTTTTAAACACAGCTGGGGGTTTTTAAATAAGATAATAGGAAAAATGATTATCAATTAAGTATATTACCTGTAAAAAATTTTGGTACATATTCTGTGCGGAATTGGGACAGAAATGGCATTCAATCAGTGATTTCTAGGCTACCATGGACAGAAATGAAATTCCATGTCATTTCTTCTCACAAGGAAAATATTTCACATAAAAGTCACCCAAGGCATAATTCTACTCTTGTTTTTTTTCTAACTTGAAACAGACATTGAAATCTATATGTTTTTACCAACTGTACTTCTTACAGACCTAATTTCTGGGAAGTAAGATATTCTAACAAGAAAAAGAGGTGTATTGTTTTAATATACAAGTGTTATTTTTAAGACATTTAGGCCTAGTGTATTTTAGATATTTAAACAATAAAAAAAACAGTGCTTGAAATAAACAGTTTATATTGCCCTTTTAATCTATATAAAATCAAGGAACCAATATGCCTGAAGATTGCTTATATTTTCTACATCCACTGATACACCACATAGATCAGAGGTCTGATAAAACTGGCCACCTGCCTTTGCCACCATATGTGCATGACTAATTTTTTGACTGGTCATTCCTACAAATCAGACTGTTCCATGTGATTATTTTGGGGAAAGATAACATTTCCTATCCTGAATTTGTAAAAAAGGACATTGCATTTTCTTTTTCAAAAATGTATAATGATTTTTAAACTTTACATATCTATTAGTTATTTGATTTTTTTTTCACATTCAATGATTGTAAGATAGAACTAATGAGTGCTTTGATTTTTGGATTTACCCTGTTTTACATAACATTGGACCTGCCCAGGTACACAGCTGTAAGTCTGAAACATTTAGGTTAGCAAGCTGGTGGAAATCACAGAGAATCTTCTTGATGTTTTAGGAATTTTAGAGATATTGTTTTGTTTAAGATGTTTAAGTATAGTTATGGTAAATAAGAATGACAAGAAGAATCACCTTGGACAAGAAGATATACAACAAAATCAGGTAAATACCTTTGAGTTACATTTATGCAGAATTGATACAGGTTATATAAATAAACAATCAAAGTAAGATGGCAGCAAACTAAAATTTGTAACTTGAGAGATCAAGGCTGTTTTTATTTCTATGCTTCATACATTAGATTTACTAATACATGTAATTGATTTTTTAGATCTAGATTTAATAGTCAAATTAATTGAATTTTTAGAACTAAATAGTACAATCAGTAGTTTTATGCAGCTGAATAAGACATTGTCATCATAATCATTTATCATTTTATTGTTGTTTTCAATGGGTATCTGATATTACATTTTACATACATTGCAGGCTAGTGGGACCAGTTCTTACTTTGAGATGCCAGGTGAATAATGATATGCAGTATTGAGCCAGAAAAGGTATATTTTTTAATCTCTATACTTACTGCTCTAAATCTTTCACAGAAAAGAGCATAATAAATGTTGTTGCAAATAGTGCAGTTAATCATTTCTTATAGAGACTTTTAGCAATTCTTAAACAACACTGTTGACTTGTGCACTAAAATGAGATACTGTGTAACTTAGTATATTTGTATATGCATAAGCATTAATAGCTAATATATAGTTTGATGATATAAAAAATATGAAATATAACTGCATATACAATAGTACACAATTTATTCCACATCTTTTTTAATTAATTATGAATTTTATCTTTAAAGGTGAACACAGCCACATGAAGTTCTCCGAGGAAATAGAAGCAGAGCACTGAAACAGACATCAATAAAAGAAATAGTAGTTTGAATAATCAGAAACATTTGATCAAATTTATGATTTGAACAGTTCCTCACCGACAGACTTCCAGCAAAATAATTGTATAAATAAAGTGTTTGATTCCAAGAAAACCAGTAAAAAACAAAAACTTGCTGCTAGAAATGAATATTGTTTTTGTTATAGTGAATGTAAGATGATTGAACTGAAGGATATGTATGTTGAATTTTGTATTTTTGCTCATTTATATGACTATGAATATAAATTAATAAACATTTTGAAATTAAATTACTAAACTTTTATTTTATTTCAAGCTTTTTTGACATCAAGCAACATATATGCGACTTACATGTGACTTATATGTTACTTATAAGTGACTTATATTAAGTCACTTATATGTAACATATAAGTCACTTATATGTAACATATAAGTCACTTATATGTTACTTATAAGTTGAGCATATATTTGACTTACATGTCACATATTTGTGACTTATATATAACTTATACTTCACTTATATGTCAAAATGCCAGACATATACTGCACTTACATCTAATTTGCATTTAAAATACATATACTTGACTTATAGGTGAATTGACTAAGTGAAGTATAATCTACATATAAAATAGCCTATAAGTGACTTATAAGTGAATTCCGTAAGGGTCATGAAATTTCTGCTGAAAAATGAGTCATTTAAGTTATGTCTCTCCCAGTCTTTGAATTATAGACTTGATGTTACAAAAATGAATTTAGTATTTTAAATTGCCAATTGGACTTCATAAATATTTATCTGTGTTTAAAATGATCTTGAAGGCTGAGAGGCCTTATGACAAACACAGAAGAAAACAAGAGAAATGACAGAAGAAAGGATAAGCAAGCAACTAAAATCATTTCACAGAAAGTTCGGCTTGCGACTATCCTTTAGTCCTTCCATCACACATTCTGTTTCTCATAGCTCAGTCATTAACCGACAGATATTTAAGATGTCGGATGAATTAATGGTATCATCCAATGACCTCTTATAATCTTGGTTAGGATACCAGGTGGATACAACAATAAGGTCATGTTTTAAGCTTGTCAAAGGGACGTGAAGTTACGTACCATAGGTATTCCCAATAGTCTTGTTTGACATATTTTGACATAATATTATGGTATACATGTATATTAGTTCAGAAAGTATAAATTTTCAATTACATAATTATTCACCTAAGATTACCTAGAATGTTGTAACATTCGCTACATATATTTTATTTATACATTTATACGCCCCAATGAATTTGCGAGCTAGTTTGTTACAAGGCAGCAAAAGGCGAATGAGAAATTAACCTAATCAGTGTAATTACTTGGACTGCATTAATGAATAATATATGATATTGATGAAAATACAGAATCCATGATATGACATAGAGAATTCTGATTTCTACGATTTAGTAGGTTTGTAGATTAATGCCTCATACATTATTAAATACAATGTGTATAATATATAAGATGGATGAGCATGGATGTCGCAGTTAAGGATGCTTTGCAGTGAAAGAGTTTTTTCTTGGTATAAGTATGCTTTGCACATGATGAGTTTTTTCTTGGTTAGTATCATTACCCAAAATATTATAATACCTGACAAGGTTTGTAACTACTAGCCCTTGTATTTACAGAATTGTCCCTCCTTTAAATTCTGGAGCATATTCTTGGATGGTTTTGATGTTTACCATCCACGCCCCTTAATTATCACAGGCTTAAGTAGAATTCAATATTTTAAAAGACATGAAAATGAAAAAAAAAGCCTTTCATTACAACATAAAAATTTTTTGTAGATATTTTATGGTTTACTTTTAGTTATATTTCAGCATGTTATGTGGTGCAAATAAGTTTTGTCTTTTTTGTTTCTCATGTTTCAATATGACATTGTCATCATATTGTTCTTTATTTAATATTCAAGAAGGAATTAAGGCAATAACCACACATTAATTTTACATAATAAGGACCAGTGACATAAGGGATCATAATTATTATTCTATGACACGAATGTTTCCACGGTGACTGAGGTAATTAGAACTAATGTTTTTCTTCGGTACTTTCATCATCGAGGGATTATTGTCATGAATATTACAGGTAAACAACTCCTGATTCAACAATAAATTGGCAAAACAAAATGGCAGGTTCTCCCTTAATGATAATTGACACAACAGCGTCTTGTAAGTTTGAGCATTTCTGAGTAAATTGAACCTCGTTTTTTGTTATATTTAATAGCTTTTACCAGAACTTTTACCAGAAGTAAAGTCGAATAATACTGCAGTAGTAGAATATCTCCACATGTATCATGCTGCTCGCATAAATGTAATAAACTCTCCATATGTTACAATGATATTATTTTCATTCCCGTGTTTAATTCCATTTTATTATCAACAGTGAGGAATTATAGCATTATAGCACTCAGGGTGTCACAGCACAACAAGAAGCTGGCGGTTATAAACTTTTATTATCTTTAAAACTTTATCTCAGCATGTTCATGACACTGGCTTATGGAGTGCTGAATACTGCAGTTTTCTATTGTAGCCCAAAGATTAGTTGCAACATCCTTTAAGTTATTATTTTGCATCATATTTCATGAAAATTTTCAGTTTGAAGTCTAGCTTGTGGGACAATTTTAGCTGATTATAGTCTTAATAATAGAAGTTTGGTTAATGAATGTCTGTAGGTCATGTCTATTTAAAAAATGTGAACCTTTATGAAATTGCTGATATGTCAAGGTCACGGTCGAAATTGATATATAGATGTAAAATTAAGTTTAAATCCTAATATTATCCTATAGACAATATTGACAATAATAACAGACCGCACTCACATGCAGTACTGACCAGACCAATCTTATATGTGCGGTCAACGAGACACTATCCTGTTTGACACACCAAAATTATAGGATTTTGGTACTGTAAAGACAACAAGTTGCATGGGGTTTATTCAAAGACATTAAAAGTTGACATATTTTAAATAAGTCATAGCCAATGATAATGCAGCAGTCATTTGAAGCCCATCTGACTTTAAACCTGAAGTTCCTTGCCTATCACAACTTCTGTTACTTTGGTAAATAGCAGGGCAAAATTAATGTTGACTGACAGGACTATTATTTTGTTTTTGTGAGCCTCAGGCCATTTGACAGGGACTTTACCTTTCCATGGTCTACAGTGTTGGTCTCAATGTAAAAATCCCACTAAGTGGTAGAGGGTATGGGCCAGATTTACCGATAGCTGGTGCATGATATTGATTAACTCTTAACTGATTATATCAGCTTTTTATTTTATGGACATTCTCTAAATAATGACTTCATAATTATGGTATTGATGAATATCATCCGGATACCTTTATAACTATAAATCACATGATAGGATCATAGTTCCTGTTCTAATTGTAGACGGAACCTTAAACGATAAAATTGCACATGTCAAAAACAGCTTGTTTAACGTTAAATTGTACCTTGAATTTCTTCCCTTTATCATCACAAAAATATTTTTGTACAAATCTCTTTTGATTTAACCTTGTACGCATATTTCAAGTTAATGTTTTTGCAAAATTTAATCAGTTGGTTCAGAATTTCCATGGTTGAATATACCGTATTGTTTGTATTGACACTTTTGACATGGCATTATTTATGACAGGCAACTTTCAAATATTCAAATAGCTATACATGTATAAACAGTTGTTGCCGAAATTTTACAGTTTTCAGGGAAATGGTTTAGAACAGGGGTAATAATAAATAAATATGATGAGAAATTGTTGTTGTTTTTTCTTCAATCAGAAATGTTTCCATGTGAACGGATTTGGTTTCTCTGATGTTCATTGAAGTTTCGATAGAGCAGTTGTATGATATATAACTTTTCAATCAGTGTTAGTGCCTTCATGCCAAAACTTGCAGCCGTGTAAAAATCAATCACGCGGCTTTTTGACAGCGTGTCTGAAGACTGGTGAAGTGAAATAGTTTATCGTACTGCATTCCATATCATCTGTCGTTTGGGGCGTTTTATGTTTCCGTTTTTTTAATTGAATATGGTGTCATATATCTCGGGAAGTCTAGTCTTGAAATTGGACGGAGAGAGATAAGGCCGATATGAATGACCTATATTGAGGACAGCGTTATATTGGTAATTAAAGATGGCCGATTCTTAGAGATTGACTGGTTTGAGTCTTTTCCACGACTACTAGTCATATCGCAACTTTCCAAGATTTCATTAAGGGCAATTGAATTTGAAATGACTTTTTTTTTTTCAATAAGGCAAAGCGATTTCTTGTCGTTAGTTATATAAAATAATTTTTTTTTTTAATAATTGTTTTTGTTGAAATTTGAATTTGATTTTTGATTCACTCATGTCACGAAGACACTTTCTGCCATTGTTAAATGCAATCCATTTTTATTAAAAAAGATATTGGGGTAATTGTTTTATGATTTTTGTACATAGATACTAAACAAAGTGCTTTCACAGTCGACAGAATGATTCTTTTGTCTGTAATCAAAAAGTCTATAATATTTTCATTGAACTATATGCTACAAAAAGTATGATATAAAAACCAGGTTTCTATTATTTTTATTTAGAAAAACTGTGAGGTCTGTTTATACTATGAAATAAACATAACAGGTTAAACTATGAAAAACTCTTTTTTTCCTGACACTTTCTCCTAACAGATTGTAAAAAAATGAATAAATTGCTTCAACAGGTGTGTTAAAAGTGAATTAATATTATTTTTGAGAATGTTACAAAGTTTCTAAAAGTGTTAATAACTTCCTCCTCAAACCAATTTTTCTCATTATTGAAGATCAGATTCTTCCACACCAGTAAATAAATAAACATTAGGAGTTTTTTCCCCTGCCATTAAAGGAACTCGATTGAGGGTGAAAAACCGATAAACATAACATTCGAATTTCTTATATAGATCAATTGAAGGGCTTAAAATTGACAAGAAATGATATGCAAACAATAATTAAAAGTTATACTTTAAAAAATAAATTGAAAATTGTATTTTTGTGCTATTGTTAGCCTGATTTGAGTCAATTATATAGGTCATTAAACAATTAGACTAACTATTCTGGAAAAACCTAGTGAGCGATGATCTAAAATTTTGCATACAAATTATTGGTCTAGACTGATGAACTTTTAATC